GCGTGAAATGCTCTAGTACCTTTAGTACCTTTCTCACGGTACACATATCTGCTTTATCCGTTTGCATGTGCAACTGCACATTTTCCGCCTTCCTGGTTATGCATCAGTTGAGCAATAGGACCTGTTCTCTGAAATGAGCAGAGCAGCGGATCTCCATCGTGATGCTGAGCGCCGAATCTGGCCTCGCGAGTGCTCCCACGTGTTCAGAAGGATGCACCTATGATGACTTTGCAGAATTGTGTGCGTATTCGTCACGTCCTATTCGCCACGATGACTAAGTATCCCGACCGGAGAAACGCGAGCCACCAGTGGCTGGCAAGTCGTCTTTTCGAAATCTGGTTATTTCAGCGCGGTTGGCGCGGCACCGGCCTTAAGCCAGCGGCTGCATCATCCCGGACAGGGGACGTGTTCTCGGAAAAGCCCAGTGCCGAGCTGCGAAGCGCATTTTGTCACGCGCCATGAATCCTTGGACGGCGAGACAGACAGCTCCCAAACGGATGTCGCAGGTGGCGGGTAACCGGACCAAGGTCATGCACTCTATCGGGTCAGGTGTGCGCTGAGAACGGAGCGTCACAGACGTCAATGCTTCCGCGTACCTGCCGCGTCCTGTTTGCAAAGTCTGAGCTGTTTGTCGGTGCGGAAACCGGCTCCGCTCCAGGGCCTTACGGGCCGCCGAGCGTATATTGTGACGTCATTTTGGCCATGGGCGGAAGTTCGTTCTATTTCACTTTAAAACACGCGTTGCACGTGGCGCCCTCCTCACGCGGATCTTTGTTGCTCAGGATCTGCGGTTAAACAGCAGGCAATGGCACGCACGATTTAAAGTTCAAAATGACAGAAGACCGCTGTCATCCGCTGCGCAGTATATTAAGCCAACGCTCACGGGAAATGAGTGTATGAACCTCGGATAAAATGGCTGGCTGGAATATTTTACCCGTCGGCGTTGGTCTTGTTGCATGACGTTTCCGCCGGCTTATCTTTCGGCCGTGGCCAGGTGCTTGTTGGTACTGAGAAGTGTTTGAGTAGGCTTGACGCATTCCCACGTACATGCCACAGGCTCGAAAGCCCTCGGCAGCTCAAAGTGGTCAAACCGTCATCATACAATCCGTCTAGACGTTCCATGGAAAATATTATTGATACTGTGTCCTAATGGCAGCGCCTTCTACATTTCCGTGGCAAAAGCACCCACCTCCAGATATGCATGCGCAACGTGCACATTCCATGCACCACCACTCGGTCCCTTGTCACAGCGGAAGGCATAGGCTTCCGCGCTCAAACTTTCCCATTGCACCGTTTTGCTAAAACAGTTTGATTTGGGTTGAGGTCAGGTGTGGGTTGGGATTAAGTGGGGGTTGATGTTGGGTGGTGCGGCGCCATCAGCCGGCACGTTGCTCATTTCTAAGACAAACGTATAACGAGCTTCATTGTTAAATAAGGAAGCAATACAAACATACGTGATTTGTTACGTTTCAAGATTTCATAAAAAAATGTATAGAAATGATCGGCTTTTTCGGGAGTCTCCGGTGGCGAAGCCACAAGAACAGCGCAGTTTTACTTAGCACAGATTACCCAGTCATACTTACGTAAGTGTCCGTGTCTGTATGGGCGAACCATTTTCGCTCCCACGGAATCTCAGATTTCCCGGCGTTGAGCGGCGCTTAAGATTTGTGTCAGACTTAAATAACCACATCAGATTGGCACCGAAATCAAAGGCATTCTGCAACGGCGCAAACCGCGTGAAATTCGACGATCTTTGCGCAGGCGTCACTTGAGCGGAAGCGGATGTCTTTGCGTAGGCGTCGCTTGAGCGGAAACGGATGCCTTTGCGCAGGCGTCACTTGAGCCGAAGTGGATGTCTTTGCGTAGGCGTCACTTAAGCGGAAGTGGATGTCTTTGCGCAGGCGTCACTTGAACGGAAGCGGATGTCTTTCTTTGATTCGATTAGGGGTGGGTTAAGATTTAAGCCCATGTAAGGAAAGGTTCCTAGCCGCTTCACTTAGCCGTCGGGGCCGGGGCCTGTTTCCGTGACCTTGGCCAGGGCACCATCACTCTTGCAGGCTGCCCCGACCTAGTGTCGGAAAACCCCAGAACCACACTTCATGGCCGAAATACAGCCACTCACGCCATTTCGGAGCCGAGGACCAGCCGCACTCGACAGTGGCATGTGAAGGGCAACGTTCCAAAGGAAATCAGCGGCCCCATGGACGGAAGGGAGCAAGGTATGAAAAGGGTACAACAAAACACAAGAAGGTTTTTTGTTTAAGTGTACCATTTATGGACATTGTGGATGGTCCTATTGGATGGATTTATGGATGGACATTCTCTCTGAAACTGCCATCTTCATCTATATGATAACGTTAACTATTGACTGTGGTCTTAAACTCCAATAACATACAACAAATAAGTCGCAAAATTTGTGATATTTCGGCAGACATCCCCTTTTCAGGAGAATTTTGCCATTCATGGTAATAAAGATGACGTCATCTGTGCATGATAATTTTCAAAACTTACTTAATGAGGACATGTCTGTCGAAACAAAATCAAGTTTGCAGATGATTTATTTTATTTCGGTTACCTGCTCGCAGATTCAAAATAGTCCAACGTATGCGAAGAAAACACTAAAACATTCTCAAGTTATCTATAGATAACTTGAGCCTGTTAAGACAAAGGCTCCAAGGCATCAATAGGAGGACATAATAGTCAGAGCGACAAACACTCAATGCGACAGGGCAACCAAAAATGACAATAAGTAATCTATAAATGCAATAACACCAAAATATGTTGGTTGCAATCATGAACCATGTAGGACTTGTCGGGTTTAGTGAAGCAGCAGGTGCATAAGGAGGGTTGGCACAGAACGACCATCAACCGCGTCGCAGCAATGAGCAGAGGACCAAAGGCCTTGGCGGGGAAGTTCTAAAGAAAACATGCCTCTGGAGATGTCACCCGAGGGGCACCTGGCCTCCCGCAAGAGGCTGGAACTCAGGCCCACTGATATGGACATCGTCCCAATAAAGTGTCTGCTTGTATGTTTGTTTCCGGTGCTTGCTTGCATGCGAGAAAGCTTTCAGGTGAACCGGTTTCAATACATCAGAGTAACCGCGCTTTGTCCTGTCTAGTCTCATACCCATCACTTATCAGTAATCCAGCTCAACTACGAGTGATGCGGTATGTTCACTGCTTTCGTAACCATGGGAACGTCAGCCTTAAAACGTCAACCTCGGCCAAAATCCATCCGGCACACACACCTGCGGGGCGTGGGGCGGGTGGCCCTGGCGCAGGTGCCGCCTGTGGTTGTGTGGGTACGACGCCACTCGCCAATGCATCCCGGACTCGGCTCTTATGGGCACAGACATCCAGTGCATGCTTTTAGAGGGGCACTTCTTTAACACTGGAACATGGTCACCTCCCTTTCACTATCGGAGGAGTTGGTCAGTGTGTTTGAGTTGTGAAAGACCTAGGTGGTGCTACATCTTGGTTAGTCTTACACTGGGTCAGTGTTTTTGTAGGAATATATTGTTTTTATGTAGATATTGAGAACAGTTTTCTTGTCAGCGTATTGGTTTTAATATGTAAAAATATCTATACATGTTTCATCAGTGTGCTGATATCGATATATGACTATCAATATCAATACATTGACAACGTGGAAGGTATGGCATGAAGCGTCGTGATGTCGGCCTTTTATAATTAACACACTTTAACTAACTTTTCCATAAAACAGAATCTTAAAATGCCTCCCTGTTCTGAAACCGTTTTAGAACCATAACACTAGTTGAAAGCTACAGGTTTACGCGGCCTCATATGCTCGAAACACCCAATGTAGCTCAACTTTTAGCGTCCGATATGATATTGAATGGCAAGGTCACGTACATCGAATGAAGTTCATGTTTTGCTGTCGCATTGGCATTTGGTTCCAAGTTAGCTGAAGGTTAAGTGAACAGTGGGATATGCAAGGCCGTAATAGCTAACATCAACGTATAAACCCTTGAACCCACTTGTAAACGGCGCAACTGAAACTTTTAGTACCAACAGAACTTAAAATCGCCAAGTAATTGCAATTCTTGAACGACACCAGTGCTAATCTCTAAGACACGCTTTGATTGCGATCTTTGAGTGACCATTCTATTGACAGCCTTTTCATATGCAAGATAGCCAACGAGACAGCTTGTTTCTCAGAATATGTAAACTGTCTTTCCGCCATAAAGATTGGGTGCATGGCAGATCCGTTGGGTCCTGTCACGAGTACATACCAGCGCTGATGGCTGGAGACGCCGCTACCCTCCCCGTGGCCGCCGGTGACACCCATCACACGCTGTGGTGTCGGCTCTAACGCCGGCGACACCCACCAGACGCTGCGGTGTCGGCTCTAACACCAGTGACACCCATCAGACGCTGTGGTGTCGGCTCTAACGCCGGCGACACCCACCGGACGCTGCGGTGTCGGCTCTAACGCCGGCCGAAGGGCATTCGCTCTTGGTGTCTGTAGAGACAGATCTAATGATCTTGTGGCGGAGAGTTTGCTGGTGCGTGGCGCGCCACTTATGGCAGGGCGTGTGCGTCACCGGCTCTAACCACAGAGTGGTGTTATTTAATGGCGAGCATGTTGACAGAAAATCTCTCCGCTTCCCCGCCGCCGTTCATCGCCATCTCTCCCGTCCTCTCTGCCAGGCAGAGCCAGAACCGCTCTCTACGCGCATCCTTTTTCACGGATTCTACACATTCGAAACGATAAACGAGCTCTGGCTGTCATCTGGTCTGGCCATGACCGCGTGCTTTAAGCTTTCTCTGCACTGGCTTAGCTCCGGTCCGCATCCCACTGATCGGGGCCTGCCATGCGGCCAGTGCGCCCGCGTCACGCCGCTACCCGTCCGCCCCCCCCCCCCCCCCCCAGCTACGGGATCTGTCAGCCGACCAGCGCCGCCGCCACCGGCGCCTCTCAGTCACCCCCTCCTTCCTGCGGTCTTCGTCGGCTGACTGGCGCCCCCGTTGTCCGACAGGTAGCGTGGGCGGTGCTGGGCCTGACGCTGGTCTACCAGACGTGGGGCCAGGGGGCAATTCGCGGCCTTCCCTGCATCGAACGGCTCAACCAGCTCCACTGCCTCGACCGGGGCGACTCGTACCCCGAGTGAGTAACGACCACTCCATCACGTACTCAAACGAAATGACGACCTGGGCTGATGTACTCCGCGTAAGAACGACCAGTTCATCACGTACTCAAACGAACTGACGATCAGGGCTGACGTACCCCGAGTGAGTAACGACCACTCCATCACGTACTCAAACGAACTGACGATCAGGGCTGACGTACCCCGAGTGAGTAACGACCTGGCCAACACGTACTCAAACGAACTGACGATCAGGGCTGACGTACCCCGAGTGAGTAACGACCACTCCATCACGTACTCAAACGAACTGACGATCAGGGCTGACGTACCCCGAGTGAGTAACGACCACTCCATCACGTACTCAAACGAACTGACGATCAGGGCTGACGTACCCCGAGTGAGTAACGACCTGGCCAACACGTACTCAAACGAACTGACGATCAGGGCTGACGTACCCCGAGTGAGTAACGACCACTCCATCACGTACTCAAACGAACTGACGATCAGGGCTGATGTGCTCCAGATGGGTAACAAAGTAGCAAGTAGCAATGAAAACGCAAAGTAAGCAACAACCAGATACCTCATATAGCACATAATAGCACATACCTCGTGTAAGCAACAACCAGGGCGGCACGTACTTTGTGTAGGTAACTGCCAGGGCAACGCGTACCCCGTGTGAGTGAAAATCAGGACGGCACGTACTTCGTGTAAGCAGCAACCAGGGCGGCACGTACTTCGTGTAAGTAACATCCGGGACAACACGTACCACGTGTGAGTAAAAACCAGAATCAAGCAAGTAATAAACAGTGTACAATGTGCGACAAATAATCATTGGCTTCCTCACCACGCAGTAGTTTGGACACGCACCCCCTAAAGAGATCACAGGCGGGTGTCAGGCTCAGGCTGGACTTCGCAGCGAGTCTGAACCCACGGCTATCGCGGACTCGGACTCAGCAACTCAAAAGAATGAGGACTCGAACTCAGTGAACTGAAGCCTGGATGATCGTAAATCTCATGTTTTATGAGGGCAAGACGCATGAAATCAGACTCAGGCTCGTAGAAGAGCTTCTAGGCCAGCAGAACAGCAGGCGAGCATCACAACTACAAAATCAGCTGTTTGATCAAGATCGTATTTTTTGCACACTGACTATACTTTGCAAAAAATGGAGGTGACGTCAGTGAGAATATGACATAATAACGCATAATTCATGCAAGGCTTAGGCCTGGATTGCTGTCTTTGTCCTGTACCACTGCGTTTTGATTCACAATCATCTCCTCCGAAAGGCGTAGATCTAACACCATTCCAGAGCCCTAGGCATCACGCACGAGCTGCTCGCGCTCCTGTCTGGGAATTAAACTCACTGCCCTAGGTTCGTGACTTGGGCTAGACTGACGCAAGTTCGATGGACTTATGGCTCCACCCAAGTTTAAAAATGGGAACCGGACTGAGTGTTTTTTTTTGCTCCCACCGATGCTCGGTATGTAACCCATCGCAACCAGGGCAGCCATTATCCCCGCCGCTGGTTCATTGTGCAAGACGCCATTGGGTTGAAGGACAAGGACAGCACGTGGAGTGCACTCTGAATCTGTGCAATACTTCGTTGGTGAAGCCTACGAGGGCACTGGGAGTTCGTCCCAATCCCAATCAAAATCAAAATTCCAATGTTAATCTCAGTCACAATCGTCTTGCATCCACTACAGGTGTTTGAACGGATTGCTTGCTCACAAAACTACCTGTAAATGATTCTCTAATAGTCGCTTTTTAGGGTAATGAGGAGCGCATGGCATCGCATCATCGCGATGATCACGGTCAGCGCCCTTGCCTTTCCCTGGTTTTTTCTTCCTCGTCAGCGCTGCGCTAACCGTCCGCCGCGGTTTTCAGATCGCGCATTGAGAGCTTCATCGACCTGAACAAGGCGCTGACACGGCGAATGTTCGGCGAATTCCAGCCACCGGGCTACTTTTTCGACCAGGTACCGACCTTCCCCAACATCCAGAACTTCGAGACGGTCGACTTCCCGGAGCACCTGCGGCCCGCCGACGTGCGCACGGGGCGCGACGAGCCGGCGCAGACCGGGGCCCCGGCGCGGTGGGACGGCGGCACACGACGCCGAACGCGAACCAGGGCGAACACTACGCGAGCGAACACGGAGCGAGCGAGCACAGCGCGAGCGAGGGCGAGCGCGGCGCGAGTGCGGGCGAACGCGGCGCGAGCGAACGTGACGAAGCAAACGATGACGAATGTGCGGCCGACGCGTGTTGCTACGCGGCCGCCGGCGCAGGGGCTGGCCACGCCAACTCCCTCCCGGCCGCCGTTTTACAACAACGTGTTCCTGAACCAGGGGGCGCAGCTGGAGGTCGCTGCCAGCCAATCGGCGCTCGGCGGCCTTCGCTTGGCACCCCGTCAGCGAGCCTCGGCCAATCAGCAACTCGGGGTGGGCGACTCAACGCCGGCCGGGCCAATCAAAGCCCGCCGCCCGGCCTGCGCGCCAATCGGCGGCGCCGGGAGCGGGCGGGGGCGGGGCTGTGTGGTGACGGCGCCACCTGTTGGCGGCTTGCAGCGTTACAGTTACCCCGTGCCCGCCACCCCTCTCACGCTGGGTGAGGCCCGCGTGCAGGTGAGAAGACAGCCACGTGCCGACCACGGCGGTCTCTCGCGTGGTCTCGCGTGGCTGTTTGTCAGACCAAACACTACTCACGCGTGCATTTTGTGTCCAGATGTCACATCAGTTTGGTGTGAGGCACTAGTCCCTTTCCCCTAGACTCTGCATCGGTGAGCGACCCTTCGGGAGTCCGGCGCCTGATGCTTCGCTGCGGTCGCACGTAGTGCCTTAGACGCCGCGTGTAAAGGCAACATCCGGGTCTAGATGTGAGGCGTAGTCTAGCACGCCTTTGTCAGCACGAATCGATGTTTCGATCGCGTTGGTCAAGGATTATTTGCGTCTCTTTGGCACAGCTCTGTTTGATGCGAAGCAAAGCATGAATACGTATTAACACAAACTTTGACAGTTCGATAACGAATTTAGCTCTCATGTCTGGTTTGCTGTTTTCACTGGATTTTAGTATTTTGAAGATGAACAGGTACAAAACATTGCGAGTTTTACGCAAAATGTTCCGAGATAGCTCAAGTCCTGACCAACCCGAGCAAAGTCTCGATTCAATCTGCAGAAGGGTTTAGATGCTCGTGGCTGTAATTCCACTGCTTGGTTTACCAGGCGGTAGACGCCAGGGTTCAGCATGCGGAAAGACGGTTGATTCAGTGACCGCGTCACGCTGCATCAGTGTCAGTTGCAGATTTGGAAGCGAGGAGGGATGTTCAAAAACATTTTCCTCCCGAAAATCTGTTCCGCAGAACGCCCTCATAATGAGCGGGTCATGCAACACTCGCCCGGGGGATGTTCCTCCAATGAGCGTAAAAACAATGGCGTAGTAGCCTTACTTTTAAAATTTGCTAAATTGAATGGAACCATCTGGTACTGTGACCGGAAGCGGTTGTAACTTCTCGGTGCACAGAAACTATTGCCGGAAACCGTGTTCTCCTGCATACACGAACAACAGACCATTGTCATCGTCAGAGCAAGGGAGAAACTCATGTTTCCCCTTTGCCGGTTCCACTTTGAAGAGAGCATAAACCACCCAATTGTCGTTCCCAAGCAACGGTGGTGAAGCCAGGCACAGCAGCTGATCATTCCACTAAGGGTCCCGTCACGCTGTGACGGAAAATGTGCCCGTGAGAGTGTGTTTGGTCTGATATGCGCATGGGCCCACCACAACCCTTGAGCCGCAGGTCACGCAGCTGACCCGACGGGCAGTCCCACCGCACGACCTCAATCCCAGGCCAGGTTTGGTGTTCACTGAAGTGCAGTACGCTTGTCAGAAAAGCTCACGAAATCTCTAAATCGCGCCTTATTTCTGGACTCAGTCGTTGCGAACGGTTTTGGCTTGAAAATTTCCAGACCGGAGTCAAAAAGTAATGCGCACATCCGCATTCCATGTGTTGAATGCATTACGTCCGGTTTTGTTTCCTCTAGAATTTTGGCTGGTAAACATCACAGGCCGCTGGATAATGGAGCCAAAATACGAACGGTTTTCTTACGTGCATTCCTTCCTTAGGAATACTGATAACGAGTCTCCGACGTCCTTGCGTGCACCTGCCTGCGCGGTGCACAACATCCTGAAACGCTTCAGAGCGGTGGCCTCAGACTCCCGGCGCGAAGCTAGAAGTCCTCCCAAAAGCACGCTGCGCGAGAGAGGAGAGGCGCGTCTAATCGGACGCGTCCGTGTCTCAACACGAGTGCACCTAACTGAGCCGATGAAAGCCGGCAGTCACACGGCCCTGCCGCGATGCTATCCCTCGTCTTTCCACATCCGCTCTCCTGGTGATGTCATTGTAGGTAACGCTAGCCAAGTTTCCCAACAAACCGCATGATCGCTGCCGCAACGGGGTTGGAGGTGATGTCAGGACACGGCCGTGTTCTCAGACGCTCTGGCTTGGTGTGTGATGCCCTGACACGGTGGCAGCCTGACCTTTCCTGCCGCTAACGCCGACCTCTGTCCAGCTGGTCACGTGAACAGCACGCTCAGCTGACATGGCGCTTTGGGTGGAGGTCGCACACTAGGTTAAACCCCTGTCGATGCCACCGCTCGCTGATTAGACGCTTCTGTGCGACGAGTCGCTCATCTGTCGTACCGCATTGCATGGCTCTGCCGCGCGAATTCGGGGCAAGCTCGCGTCTCTGCACGGCTTTGGTCGGCGTCGGCGCGGCTTTGGTCGACAACCGCCCCATGCCTTCGCCTCACCCTCTCACTGGCGTTCTAGCCTCGATGCTTTTCGGATTTAACGCCGTTAAGTAATTGTCGGTCTAAATATCTCACTTTGTTCGTGCGGTAAGTCTTGGCACGTGGGCTAAGCTCCACTATTTGCCACGTTGTTTGAAAGCTGATAGCTTTACTTAATCCCTCGGTTTTCCAATGATTAAATGGAATGAAATAAGTTCAGACACCTTCAAAGAGGCCTTTACATGCGTAAATAAAAATATTGACTTATAAAGATCAGCCTACTGATGCAATGTGTTTGGCCAATTCTCTTAGTTCAAACACTCGTCACTTGGACGTGACGGAGGCTGGTTCCTAGAAACACCGCTCACCTGGCTCGCTCTGTGACGTCACTTGCCGCACCCTGACGCCCTCCGACGGTGACCGCAGCCGCGAGTGAAGCGGTCCTCGAACGCCACGGTGGGCGCAGCACCGACGGGGCGGCGACATAAGCGGCAGTCTGTGCCGCCACCGCCGAAAATCGAGAAAGGAAGCAAGCACCTGTAAGTTGCATGGCCTGTTTCTGGCGTTGGCTGTGACGAAGCTGCGAGTGCACAATGTGACAGCGGCTCCTGAAGCATCCAGAGGCAAATCCCCTCGGTGGAAGGATTTCTGTCAATGATTGTCCTGATTTCCTGACCTGAGTGTGAGAGAGGTGTTATGTTACATTCGTGAATTATTGACCTAAGCATTAATTAGGCGTCATTTACACCTGTTATGTACTAATCCAAGTGTCAGTGATGTGTTCTTTTACACTGATACAGTACTGACCTGAGAGTCACTGAGGTGCCGTGTTACATTCGCTAAGTACTTACCTTAGCGTTACTGAGGTGTCTTTTAACACTTATTACCTGCTGACCAGGGCGTCGGTGAGTTGTCACTGTCGCCGCCTCAGGGCGGGCTGCTTGCAGTGCGAACAGATAGGGTACGGTGAATCGGCAGTGCGGATGGCTGTGAGTCCCAGGCCGGCACCACCACGCCGTGTCATATGTTTCCAGGGCAGACAACTGTGCCATGTCGAATCCGCTACATTGCACACAGATGAGAGCGGTGGTGGTGGCTTGGTGTTTAAGCGCGTGTCAGCGTCCAGGCCATTTGCGCCCACAGATGAGTGCTTCTGACCACTGTTTACGGGCTGGACACCGGCGTCATGTACACCACCGCGGCAAACGCTGCAGCCTTTACAGCGGTAGCATGCTCGTGTACGGCGGTGACCCGTGTTGTGTCCGCAGCGTGGACAGTTGCGAGTCCAAGATCGAGCTCGTCACGCCGTACTGGGCGGCCAACTCGGCCGGTAAGATCAGAGCCGTGGTCAACACTAAACACTTCCCGCAGGCCATCCACCAGGAGATCTGCAAGTGAGTCTGACGTGATGACGTCACTGGTTCGCCAGCGCTGCGGAGTGGCGCTCGTCACCGGCCACGCTTGCGGCGGGCAGGGCAGTCGGCGTGCGCTCTCATGGGTCTCGGGCATTTGCATGTCGTTTTGGCTGGTGATAGATAGAAAATTAGGGGGGGGGGGGGGGCGCAACGGTTGAGCCAGAATGAATGCGACGCACGTGGACGCTGCGAGCCCTCTGGGCGCTTTCTGATCGCTGCAACAGTCAGCTTGTGTCGCAGCCGGCTCACGGGGCAAGCCAGGACTTATCTCAGCGTTCGCGTGGCCTTGCATTCTGATTCGTTCTGTCGCGCTGGGAGTTGTTTCCGCCGGTCGTCGATAGATGGCGGCCCAGAGCCCACATCGTTTTCCACGAGGACCTGCCCCGCCCTCCCCCCCCCTCCACCAACGCGGGGTACGCTACCCCATTTGATGAGAAAGGGGGTTGCACCGAGGCGGTTCCAGTACAATATCGCCACACTGACACAATCTGTACTGAGAAGAGTGTCTGTGGAAGGACGCTGATGAGGCCGAGAAGGTTTAGCGATGTCCGACCACCAGAGAACCGATGGCGATTGTAACGTTTGCTTTAATAATTTCTGCTTATGTGCCATTTGTCAATGTGTCCTTATCACGTGTCATTTGTCAATGTGTCATTGTCACGTGTCATTTGTCAATGTGTCATTGTCACGTGTCATTTGCCAATATGTCATTGTCACGTGTCATTTGTCAATGTGTCATTGTCACGTGCCATTTGTCAATGTGTCATTGTCACGTGTCACTGTCAGTCGCTCGGCACGCCACTATCACTATTCTATTCTATCACTATTATTATCACTATTTGGCACGCCACTATTCCACAGCCGCTGGAGACAGGAGTGCCCTATACCTGCATCTGCTGGCACTCCTCAGATAAGATCTCTCCACGTCTAGCCCAATTCAAACGTGAAGAAGTGGCCGAACCAGCAAGGGCGCAGCCAATGTTTTCCGAACGTCCATTTATTGCCAAAGAATTGGTGTGGGCAAATGTTGATTTTTCTGAATTTCTGTAAACGTGGACAGAATTCCTGGAAAGATCTCCACCCCAGCACAAGGCGTGAGGCTGTCAGCTCACGAGGGCATGGCCCCGTGCCCTGCTTCCCACGTCCCGCTAACCAGTGGCCCGCCGCTGCAGGGGCACCACCACCAGCCACTGCGGCGGAAGCTGCATGTGCGAGCAGAAGTACACCTTTCACCGCCTGCTGGCTTACGACCCGGACAACGACTGCAAGGGTATCTTCATCGACTGGTTCCTGTTCCCGTCTTGCTGCGCCTGTCGCTGCCCGCCCTAGACGTGTGACCGCGTCCGCCGCTGTCTGGCGTACATATCCGCCCGCCGCTGTCCGCTCCCGACGTCCGCCTGCCCCTGTCCGCCTGAAACGTGCGGCTGCGCCTGCCGCCGTCCGGCTGTGCGGCTGCGCCTGCCGCTGCCCGCACGAGGCGTTAAGCTGTGGATGTCCGCCATAGGCGTCCCATATCTCTCCCACATGTTATACATCTGCTCCACGCGCGGGCTGCACACCGCCGGCCGTTTCCATCGTGGTTGCCACTGGACGGCGCCAAACCCGCCATGTTCGCGCCAAATCCGCTGGCGCAAATCTCTTCCGCCGGCGGCAAACCTCTCCCGCCGGCGCCAAGCCTCGTCCGCCGAGAGTCTCAGCTGAACCAAGCCACGGTGACATTAGCGGCCCCGGTCCTCTGGCCGCATGCCCTGCGCGCTGCCCACTGTCCTGGCGCCGCCGTCGTGCTGCCCGCCGCCTGCCCGGGGTCGGCCGAGGCCCGCCGGACTGGCACCGAGGTCTCGCGATCGCCAGCTGTGGCGAGAGACTCAGAGCCTCGGAGCTGTCAGCGCCGCTGTGCGACGTCCCGATGGGACGGATCAGTGCCGGAAGTGCGACGCTGCGCGCTTTTAGCGTGGGGTGTGCGTGCCGCGCGGATGGCGCCCCCCCCCCCCCCCTACGCGGGGATCCGCGGGTCGTGATGGAAGGGCGTCGCTGGGCTGTTTGTGATGGTCCGGCGCGAGTTGGGCCGGCTGAAGCGAACGTTACTGCCCGGCGGGCACGAGCTGAACGCTGGGTGCGGTGGTACTCTAGCGGTGTCCAGGAGAACCAGTGGTTCCAAGGGATATCGCCACAGTCGTCCCGTGCCGGAGAATGCGGCACACGTGTAAGGTCTGGGGGAATGAGTTGCGTCAACGTGCGATGCAGATTGAGACATTCAACTTGCGCTAGTTTATCGAGCAACTCATGCCATTGGAATATTCAGGAAGTGCATTTTGCGTGTAGTTGCGCTTCGACATGGACCATGGTGCGAATGTTCTGTTTTAGGTTTGAGCGCACGCTCGGCGCCATACATTGGTTAACTTTTGGTCAATGGTTCTTTGAACAGTGTTAGGATACATGTTATGTTTTTATTATTTTGGCTGCTTCTTAGGAAATATATGCGCCATAGTGGGATGAGAAGCCGAGTGAAATACTGTGTTTTATGTACGCGCGTGTGGTGCCGCGCCTGGTTCCTTACGTTTGCGGGGTGTCATATTGTGGCGATTTCCTTGGAAGTGTTGCGTGAATGTCAATTGTTATCGGACATTATTAAAATCTTACCATATTCAAAGTGAAAACATGAAATTGAATGAGCATATTTGGCCTAAACAAACCGCCAAACCAAGTGATGGCCGGCTGCGTTGTGATAATGACGAACGGATGCTTAGCTGTCTGCCATTGGAGCTGGACGTCATCCATGGCTGACGTCTAGACGCATAGCTGGATGTCATTCATGGCGTGACGTCTCGGCGCATAGCTGGACGTCATTCATGGCGTAACGTCTCGGCGCATAGCTAGACGTCATTCATGGCGCGACGTCTCGACGCATAACTGGACGTCATTCATGGCGTGACGTCTCGGCGCATAGCTGGATGTCATTCATGGCGCGACGTCTCGACGCATAGCTGGACGTCATTCATGGTGCGACGTCTCGACGCATAGCTGGACGTCATTCATGGCGCGACGTCTCGACGCATAGCTGGACGTCATTCATGGCGTGACGTCTCGGCGCATAGCTGGACGTCATTCATGGCGTGACGTCTCGGCGCATAGCTGGACGTCATTCATGGCGTAACATCTCGGCGCATAGCTGGACGTCATTCATGGCGCGACGTCTCGACGCATAGCTGGACGTCATGCATGGTGCGACGTCTCGACGCATAGCTGGACGTCATTCATGGCGTGACGTCTCGACGCATAGCTGGACGTCATTCATGGCTGACGTCTCGACGCAAAGCTGAACGCACTGCTATTCTTTATGGGATCAACTTATCACTATTCCCTGGACTTCTTGACCGAAGCTGAACCAAACAATATGACATGGTGAACCAATCCACGTAATAACACCAGAGTGGTTTACTAAAATCAACGCTTAACAGTACCCGGCGTTCATTAGCGCAACACCAACTCAGATTTTCCTATGCGAATCAATGGACGTCTGGGTGTTGATTAAATGGTACAATCAATCAAATGCTTTGTAATAGGCAACATATCGAAACCAACACTTTACCACCAAAACTGGGGGAGACAAAAGTCAATTTTGACAAGGTTGAGGAGGAATACGTCCCTCCCCTCCGTGATGGAGTTCGTGTAGCAGTTGATCATACCTCCACGGATGCCACGTGTGTCAGACCATCACGGATGCCACGTGTGTCAGAACACCACGGATACCACGTGTGTCAGACCACCACGGACGCCATGGGTGTCAGACCGCCACGGATGCCACGAATGTCAGACCACCACGCATGCTACGAGGGTCGGACCACCACGGATGCTATGGGGGTCGGACCACCACGGATGCCACAGGTGTCGGACCGCCACGGATGCCACGGGTGCCAGACCACCACGGATGCCACGTGTGTCAGAACGCCACGGATACCACGTGTGTCAGACCACCACGCATGCCACGGGTGTCAGATCACCACGGATCACACTGACGGAGGTCTGCAGACACGTCGGCTGATGTTGACTGAGCTCTTGTCACCAAAATCGATTGATCGCTCTCACTACTGCCGGCTTCACTACTGCATCGTTCCGTCCGGGGAAGATAATCAATCTGGCAGCCTTTGTCGCACGGAGTCGGCGCGGATGACGCTACACTGTGGCAGCAGTTGTGTTCTGATGGCGTCATGCCCTTCATGTGATGACCTACCGGACAGCCGGGCTCTGATAGCGTCACGGTTCGGTGGCTTAGTGACGTCACGTGCTATATCACAAGATTCACGGCCAGATGGTGTGGACATCCCGACTCAGAGTGACATCTTTGAACCCTGAGGGTGTCAGACGGTGTGTTATGCATACCGACCCCGGTTGTGGTGCGAAGGTCGATGCGTGTCAGATGGTGTGTTATGCATACCAACCCTGGTTGTGGTGCGGAGGCCGATGCGTGTCAGATGGTGTGTTATGCATACCAACCCTGGTTGTGGTGCGAAGGTCGATGCGAGACGGCCATGCCAGGCGTTTTCTTTGTAGTTATATCTCTGAATGTCGTTACAGAAAAGCTAATTTTTTTAGCACCACATACCAAAAATCTTTCAGTTGACAGTTCATATCTGAATAGCAGGCCATTAGATTCGCGGATTGGTCCCGTTCTGTGCGTTTACTCGTTCAATACGGCTTACTGCGGGTGCACCCGCCCTCTGAAGACCTCCCGTGCAGGTGGAGCAGTCTGCCACTCCAGTTTTCCAAACCGTGTACTGGTGCCTCAGTAGTCGAAAATACATTCGATGGACCAATGTTTAATGTTATGCGCCGTGCTAGTCTACACATGTATCAATGAAAAAAGCTTTTAAACGTAACAGTTGGTGTCAGTTTTACAGATGGCAAGCGAATGACGGGTTGTTGGTAAATGTTTGAAAACATACTTAAAAACACCATTACGCATAATTTTTTTAGTTTTAGCACAACATAATTATCATTATCTTAGGTAACGCGGTCAGTACGATTTGATTCGCATCCGACGTTTTCATGTAAGATGGAAGAATCTGAGGTCTGATTCCACATCTTAAAATGCAGAACATTCCGCTTTAATCATCGCCGTGACGTCGCTGTGCAGTGGAATACACCCGTGCATGCGTGCATATCAGCAATGATCAATGCACCTAACTCAGGACATTCCACTATCTCATAACCACCCGTAGGCAATTGACCTCAAGACTGCTGAAATGACCGCTTGCGCGAAATGTTTCTAGCATCCTGTGACAATTGAAACTTCATTTTTGCTGTCATCCTTGCAATATTCCTTAAACATTGCACAAGTATCAGGAAGTCCATATAACACACACTGATATTTAACGTATAAATGCTTGTAAAATAACAGCCTTTCATAATAATACTTCTCATAAGAGCAGAGCAAGCCCTTGAGATGTGAACAGACAGTCAACGAGATATCATTTTTGATAGCACAACACATTCTATACTTGATATAAGGATAACCACTTCTAAAGTAAGTGCATCAGTCCCGTAAGTAACAAAGTCGCTTTCCCTCTTTGCCGCGATGCGTAACACTCAGACAGTTCAGCGAAAGGCATATCCACCGAGCTTGACCTAGCTTGAAAGTTACCCAGCCGGCAACACATTTAAAAAAAAAATAGTCATTTTCACGAAGAATCATAGTGGACAATTTTTAAAACTTGAAAAGCTTTTCAGCGTTTATTTTCTGAACACACAAATTTTATAAATAATTTGAGGCTAGATATGTTCCCCAGAGATTTAAAAACATGTTTGTGAAGACAATGATAAAATGTAAAACATAATAAAACATAAACAACGTAAAACATAGTACATCAAAACGGTAAATAAAACAACTTAGAAAGTTAAGAAATTGCAGTTAGCTGGCTGTGAGCAAGATGAGGTTTTTATAGACGGTTATGAGGCCAGAACTTGTGCCGAAACTTTTTGAAACTTTGTTAAAACATTCAGTGGCATCTCTGGCGCAGACGCGACAAAACAAACATCTATATTCTTGTAGCGTACCGGGCCATAGGCATGCAGTACTTACAGAGCTTCTTTGCCGGACTGACGGAGCTTATAGAGCTTACATACCTGCGCATGGCCCAAGATGGATACTCCCTAAATGAAATTGCCTTTAAAGGCCGAAATGTTCCACACAACACTAATGTAAACAAAACAGGTCAGCCCGACAACCAGCTGTATTAGCTAAAGTGAACTAGAATTCAATAATAAGGTGAACTGGAATTCGGGTGAACGAAAGGCATGGTCTGCAATAATGATTGTAAGCGGCCTTGTTTAAGATAACAAACTTTCGTTTGTTGCATACATGTGGTTTACCCATTGCATGCTAATTAAATTGCGTGAAACAACATTTTCCTTTTCTCAGAGTGTTTAGCATATACTAGAACCCCGTAGAAGCATTTTCAAATTTTCAAAACCTTTCACTGAATTAACCCATCGTGAAAATGGCTAAAAGGTTGCCTATTTCAGGTCTTGAGCATGCCATTTTTATCGACATCTTCAGGGAAAAAGAGCCCATGATGCAGCCCCATTACATAGTTGATCTAGCACCAACTGTCTGGCATCGTCCGTAGTGTAACGATAACATAATATGTCTACAGGTACTAAGCTTCAATCCCTCGTGAAAATGGCTAATGTGCTCTGGAAGAAAAAGACAGCTCTGGCTGCTTCTGACTTGAACCGAGTGGTTCGACTGACGCTCAATGGGTTATTTTTGTACGCATATTTAAGTATTCCCGGAGATTGTAAAAATCAGTGAAAGATGCGGGCCACCGAGAAAACTAAAATCTGTGAATTAAATAATAATCCACGAGATGCTGAACACCATCAGGTGAGCGGAATACATAATTTAACTAGCCTTATGCCAGCAGCATGCAAGTCGAAACTAGAATAAATGAGTCTGACACATGGAATCATGATTATTTCTTCTTCCTTCTGAATGCATGCTTTGAGCATCTGACTCATATTTTTTTCTACTTCATGCAGCGCGTCGCTTGATATTTTTTTCAGGTCTTCAATCCTACTGCTAACCGAACTATTCTATGCTCCTTTGAGCCTCGTCCTACAGCATATGAGGAAAATAAAGAGTGCTGGGTCAATGAAATGCAGCACAGTTCTGTGCACTGCTGGTGCACAAGGTGCCTAAACACACAAGTATTAGTACCACGCTCACTTGGTATTAAAAAGCATCATATAGGTTTAGAGTTTTTCATATATTTATGTTTTCAACGTTCTACCTTCTCCGTATGTTAGGACCGTTCACCAAAGTTGGCAGGTTTCTCAGGAGACAGCACTGGTGGATCTGAACAAAAGACTGTACTATGTGACATCTAAGCGTTTGTGACGTTTTGTTGAACGTTGTTTAACGTGTTCCTTAACAATCTTGAGTTTATTTGTCGACCAATCGGGATTTCAGCAGAATATGACTGTCAGTTCAACTAAACAAAACACTAGCAGCAACGTATGACTATCAGTTCAACTCAACAAAACACGAGCAGCGGCATATGACTGTCAGTTCAACTCAACAAAACACGAGCAGCAACATATGACTGTCGATCAACTCAACAAAACATGAGCAGCAACATATGACTGTCAGTTCAATTCAACAAAACACGAGCAGCAACATATGACTGTCAGTTCAACGCAACAAAACACGAGCAGCAGCATCGGTGGTCAGAGGTTCCACAGCTGTCAACATTGGGATTACAAAAGATGCTCTAGATTATCCACGGATCATCCAGGATACGCAGCAGCTGAATCTGCTGCGTGCGGCCGGTTGCCCTGCTGAATCTGCTGCAGGCGGTCGGTTGTCCTGCTGAATCTGCTGCAGGTGGTCGGCTGCCCTGCTGATTTTATCGACGGTGATGCGTCCCACCTCAAGCCTAAAGGCTCTTGAAGGGCGCGTGATCTCTTTCAGCTTCGCTGACTTATCCACATGGCTGTTCAGGCTACTCCACAATACGCGGTCAGGTGGCGACTGGGCGAGCATGTGCAGTCCTCGGCGGTGTTAAGGTGATGGGTATTTCAGGGAAATACTGTCCGACCGATCCAGCAAAGCCCGTGTCGCGTGCGGCGTCAGCCCGTCCTGCTGGAGTCACTGCTCGTCCCGATCGATCCAGTGAGGTCACCCCAGGCTCACCCAGACGGACATCTGGACAAAGACGGTGTGGCGCTCTGAGGGGTGGCGTTTAAAAGATACTCGCTCACAATCGGAAGGCTTCACCCAGTGTCCCAAGAATCGGTTCGCAAGGAAAACATGTTTTAGTAGCGCTACGTTCACACGACAAAGGATCATTAAATCCATATAGCACGTTCTACGTTCGCGATATGAAGACTAGCTTCGTAGGAACCTTGGTGTGTTCCAATTTAGAATGCTTTTTGGTGAGGGTGGTCATGCAACGCAAACTTACCCCACTACTGGTAGGTGAATCGGAAGACGTGCGCTCTAGCCGACTGAGCTGGGGATACGGGCCGCAGCACATGTCATGACGGGGGCTTAAAGTACAGTTCGCTGGTGTATCTGCCACCTGACCGTGCTACCAAGTGAAGTTCGGCGGTGTACCTACCACCCGGCCGTGCCACCAAAATGGTATCGAATAATGAAATCATCGCATTTTGTCCGGTGTTGTAAGAACCACAAACTCGCCGCATGTTGAACGTCAATTAGTTTTAACCTCAAAGGTCCAAAATCACAACGCCAAAATAATAAGGGTTCAAATAAGGCCCACAGGCCCTTCTTGTGTGTTAAACTTCCAGCACGTGTCAAAGCGCTCTGCGCGCTCCTGTTTCAATGGTCACACAGGACATGCTCACATACATACGCATTCGTCTTATATGTCCCTCCAATTAGCTACGTGTCGGCTGCCAAAATCATGCAGTTCAGCTACATTTTTGTGCAGGTAAATGCCGGCAGCATACACGAATTTGTATAGCTTCTATAGCGTCTGTAGCCTCTGTAGCCTCTGTGGCTTCCGTAGCCCCTATAGCCTCTGTAGCCTATGTAGACTCTGTAGCATCTATAGCCTCTGTATGTACCTCTCGTCTGTACGCATCAGGCCTTGCCATGCTGCATAAAACCGTCGTTTGTGCCTCCGACCACCACTGGTGAAAGACACACGGCGGCTAATTTTGTTGATGGCGACTGGTCGATCTCTTCAGACTTTCTTGTTTAAGTTGCATACCATTTAAACCCTTTCACATAAATGCAGCATTACCTCTGATCCAGATTAAACGTCATGTCTCACTGATAACACAGTTCTAACATCAACTATTTCTTTTTATTTGACATCGGGGACGCAAATTTAAGCGATCTAAGTCCAAGAAGGAATCACAATTTTGGGGCAGGCCGGGCCGTCTTTATCGGCTCAGCTCCCCTTCTTCTTCCAACCGATTTTAGAAAGCAATTCTCCTGATTCCATGAACGTTTACTGTGCCAGAAACGTACTTCCAAGTATGTACACAGCACAAGTCTGGATTCAGTCCGCGCTTTTCGAATCCTGATGGTTGCCGTCACAAGCACAGCACTCGCCGATGGCCTGCTGTACCAGCCGTACTTGCGGGGTCCGCCTCCTGTACCAGCCTTACTTGTGGGGTCTGCCTGCTGTGCCAGGCGTACTTGTGGGGTTCGCCTGCTGTGCCAGGCGTACTTGCGGGGTCCGCCGGCGGCCGAGGAGGCAGCGGAGGAGGAGGGGTCCTGTCGTCGGCTCGGCCCGGCCGGTATCGCTGCAGCGGCGGCACACCCAGCTCGATCAATGTACTCCGGGCTACCGGGCCAAACAAACGCACGGCAAACACGACTATGTGACAGGGCTCGTACCGGCCGTCACACTGCAGCGTCGTCTTCACTGGCATAGTCGGCCGATTGACTGGATGGTGCACTGCGGTTGCGCATGAGCGGAAGTTTTGGTCAAAGGACCATACATTTAGCTTACTTTTGCAGACGTGGTCAGTGTGCTAGGTTGCTGGGCAGGGAGCCTGCTTTTCGTGCAGCTTCGGGCGCCGTCTGTGAATACAGCCAAAGTCGCCGTTGATGCTCCTCATTTGAAGGCGCAAGCCTCACACATTGACAGGCATTCTCCTCGGAGACGCTGCCAGAAGTGACACCATCATGCGGAAGGTCTAGCCGACGAGCAGGGGAACTCTGGCAGCCTGTCCGGAACTGAACAAGTTGAGCTAAAGCTTAGGAGAATCAGCGCGACGCCATGGCCTCCGATAAGGTAAACACCCCACTATCACCGGCTCACTGTGCGCGAACCGGCTCACTGTGCGCGAACCGGCTCACTGTGCGCGAGCCGGCTCACTGTGCGCGAACCGGCTCACTACTGTCCCCGGGTGATATCCCCGGTGATATCCCCGGAGAACCCCACATACTGGGCTGCATAGTGGTGCTGAAGTCTGACACCGTGTTCAGCAACGCTCTCCTGGCTGCCACAGACTGCTGGGCGACTGACTCGTATGACTGCACTGCACTGCACTGCACTGTACTGCATGGTGACTGCGCGCATTTCTGGCCATCCGCGTCATGAGCGGTCGCGAAGTTAAACCTGACAGGGTATATTTGTTTGGGGATATTCTAATCTAGGTTAAATCTAGGCCTTGGTAGGCCAGATTTGACTGGTGGGTTTTTAGCTTGATGACATTCTTCACCAAAAAATTTAACTTCGCCAGAAAATTCTTCGCCCGGAAAATTCGGGTCCATCCATCGGGACTCAAACCCTGATCTAGGGAATGCCGTCGGAGAGACAGGGGACACGGAGTGGCCGCATCTGGCAAAAATGTCGCCAAAATGTACAGCGTCTTATTCATTTGGACACACCCAATCGGTGGCATCTGAAGGAGATATATAACACAAACGATATCATAAAAATCCCGCACAAAAGTTAACACACCCAGCAAAGCCTTCCTTTGAGTGGTTGTGACCGGCGGCGTCAGTCCGAACGCACCTGTGAATACACGTTCAGCTTTTAATGTGCCGCTGCCGGTCTGAGCGCCTCGATGGTAAGAACGAACCGGCATGGCTAGTGTAGGTCGCATGGCGTGGGCTGGTAACAATTTACTGACAATTCAGGGCCTGTCGGGTGTGCCCGGGGTGTATTTCAACCCGCACTGAATGCATCATGTATTTGGCATGGGTCGAAAGCTAAGGCTATTTTGCGGCATAACGGTGGCTAAATTGTACCGAATGTCATGTTTTTTTAACTATTTGAATAATCATGCGAGCTTAGTTTTTTGCCGTTCGCCTTTTGCCTGACTATTCGCGCATGAAACTAAAATATTTGGAGAGCATTCACAAGTCACAAACTCGAGCTGCTTTGGTCAATGGATTGACGCCCGGAGAAACATTAATACCCAAAGTTGTTGATGTCCACGATCAGAATAAAAACATTTCCATGCAAAATTTGCTACAGTTAAAAACTGTCGTGACGGGCATACCGACCAAACATCATCATTATCTTTTTGTTCTATCATGGACATTCGAATGTCAACAGTTGGGACGGACGGATAGGCTACGCCATTTTTTTGCCGTTGATATCCACACTGGCTCTGAATCTCGGCCTACTCTGAAGCTTTGACCAACGCAGACGGGAGCCAACGGAGCCCTTGATTTCACAGAATGTAAAGCTTCCCTGTCCTTAGGTTAATTTGGGGGCGACTGAAGAGGACTCAGAAGTGAGACTATGGTGCACGAAACGCTTCCTTTTTGGGCTGTCACTGCACTGAATTCATACGATCTGTGTTGCGAGACATAATAGTCATGACTCAGACTCGGTCCACATCGGTGCCTGTTACAGGTGGTCTTGTCTGTCTCCGGTCGCCTGTCCGGTGGCCATGAGATGACAGTCAGAGGTGTTGTGTTGCAGGTGGTGCTGGCCTACGCTCTGTCTCTGGTCACCTGCCTGGTGGCCATGAGATGACAGTCAGAGGTGTTGTGTTGCAGGTGGTGCTGGCCTACGCTCTGTCTCTGGTCACCTGCCTGGTGGCCATGAGATGACAGTCAGAGGTGTTGTGTTGCAGGCGGTGCTGGCCTACGCTCTGTCTCTGGTCACCTGCCTGGTGGTCATGAGATGACAGTCAGAGGTGTTATGCTGCAGGTGGTGCTGGCCTACGCTCTGTCTCTGGTCACCTGCCTGGTGGTCATGAGATGACAGTCAGAGGTGTTATGCTGCAGGTGGTGCTGGCCTACGCTCTGTCTCTGGTCACCTGCCTGGTGGTCATGAGATGACAGTCAGAGGTGTTGTGTTGCAGGTGGTGCTGGCCTACGCTCTGTCTCTGGTCGCCTGCCTGGTGGTCATGAGTTGACAGTCAGAGGTGTTATGTTGCAGGTGGTGCCGGCCTACGCTCTGTCTCTGGTCACCTGCCTGGTGGTCATGAGATGACAGTCAGAGGTGTTCTGTTGCAGGTGGTGCTGGCCTACGTTCTGTCTCTGGTCACCTGCCTGGTGGTCATGAGATGACAGTCAGAGGTGTTATGTTGCAGGTGGTGCTGGCCTACGTTCTGTCTCTGCTCGCCTGTCTGGTGGTCATGAGATGACAGTCAGAGGTGTTATGTTGCAGGTGGTGCTGGCCTACGCTCTGTCTCTGGTCACCTGCCTGGTGGTCATGAGATGACAGTCAGAGGTGTTATGTTGCAGGTGGTGCTGGCCTACGCTCTGTCTCTGGTCACCTGCCTGGTGGTCATGAGATGACAGTCAGAGGTGTTGTGTTGCAGGTGGTGCTGGCCTACGTTCTGTCTCTGCTCGCCTGTCTGGTGGCCATGATGTGGCAGTCGGAAGTTGACCCGCGGGATTTCGCAGCCTCAGACGAGGCCAAGTTCCGAGTCAGCCCGAGGAAGATGATGGAGACCATCAGCACGCCCGACATGATCGCTACGGTGAGTGACACACGACATGATGGCTACGGTGAGTGGCACACTACATGATGGCTACGGTGAGTGACGCACGGCATGATGGCTACGGTGAGTGATGCACGACATGATGGCTACGGTGAGTGGCATACGACATGATGGCTACGGTGAGTGATGCACGACATGATTGCTACGGTGAGTGACACACGGCATGATGGCTGCGTTGAGTGACGCACGGCATGATGGCTACGGTGAGTGACGCACGGCATGATGGCTACGGTGAGTGACACACGGCATGATGGCTACGGTGAGTGACGCACGGCATGATGGCTACGGTGAGTGACGCACGGCATGATGGCTACGGTGAGTGACGCACGGCATGATGGCTACGGTGAGTGACGCACGACATGGTGGCCACGGTGAGTGACGCACGACATGATGGCTGCGGTGAGTGAAGCACGACATGATGGCTACGGTGAGTGACGCACGGCATGATGGCTACGGTGAGTGACGCACGACATGATGGCCACGGTGAGTGACGCACGACATGATGGCTACGGTGAGTGACGCACGACATGATGGCTACGGTGAGTGACGCACGGCATGATGGCTACGGTGAGTGACGCACGACATGATGGCAACGGTGAGTGACGCACGACATGATGGCTGCGGTGAGTGATGCACGACATGATGGCTACGGTGAGTGACGCACGGCATGATGGCTACGGTGAGTGATGCACGACATGATGGCTGCGGTGAGTGACGCACGACATGATGGCTACGGTGAGTGACGCATGACATGATGGCTACGGTGAGTGACGCACGACATGATGGCTACGGTGAGTGATGCACGACATGATGGCTGCGGTGAGTGACGCACGACATGATGGCTACGGTGAGTGGCATACGACATGATGGCTACGGTGAGTGATGCACGACATGATTGCTACAGTGAGTGACACACGGCATGATGGCTGCGATGAGTGACGCACGGCATGATGGCTACGGTGAGTGACGCACGGCATGATGGCTACGGTGAGTGACACACGGCATGATGGCTACGGTGAGTGACGCACGGCATGATGGCTACGGTGAGTGACGCACGGCATGATGGCTACGGTGAGTGACGCACGGCATGATGGCTACGGTGAGTGACGCACGACATGGTGGCCACGGTGAATGACGCACGACATGATGGCTGCGGTGAGTGAAGCACGACATGATGGCTACGGTGAGTGACGCACGGCATGATGGCTACGGTGAGTGACGCACGACATGATGGCCACGGTGAGTGACGCACGACATGATGGCTACGGTGAGTGACGCACGACATGATGGCTACGGTGAGTGACGCACGGCATGATGGCTACGGTGAGTGACGCACGACATGATGGCCACGGTGAGTGACGCACGACATGATGGCTGCGGTGAGTGATGCACGACATGATGGCTACGGTGAGTGACGCAGGGCATGATGGCTACGGTGAGTGATGCACGACATGATGGCTACGGTGAGTGACGCACGGCATGATGGCTACGGTGAGTGATGCACGACATGATGGCTGCGGTGAGTGACGCACGACATGATGGCCACGGTGAGTGACGCACGACATGATGGCTGCGGTGAGTGATGCACGACATGATGGCTACGGTGAATGACGCACGCACCGACGGTGCCGCGTCTGCGCCAACGGAGGCACGTTCCTCCCGCGATTCGCGGAAAACCCAGCAGGGGCATCAGCCGTTTCCATCCCAACTCTGTGAGGCCTCATCCAAAGCTTTGGTGAGCAGCCCAAGTATCATCATCTGCCCGCCCATAGCGGAAAGAATTCATCCCCTGATTGTTCTCACCAGCAAAACTATGTCACGCATTCCACGCATGATTTATCACAGGTTACCGATGGCTTGAAGTAGCAATTTCGTAATAATTGCATGTTCTCTTCTTGTCTTTAATTACCTCCGAATTGCCGTGAAGTGCTGTCTCAGACACACCTCCGTACACTTGGTCTACTTCGCCGTCATGATGAAGTAGTAATGCCGACTGTCCTTTCCATACGCAGTGGTTTTCATGGATCAAGAACGTGAAACAGATCGATCGAAGGCTACTGACCAAGGGCAAGAGGTATATTGGACAATACACCGTCGGTCCTTTGGGTAAGCCTCCGCCCGAATTTGTGGCGAGCGTGCAGCTGAAACCTTGAACAAGAGAATTGCTCATGATGCATGAACGTCCGAAGACGTGAGCCCTCCAATATCCACGACGTGCACAAGGAATAGCGGTGCATTCCAAGCGTTCTTGTTTGGCACAATTGCATCTCTTTACTCTACTGGCGCACATCTAATTGTTCTGTGGGCATGTCAATGGAGCCAAACAATATGATTACTATAATACTGAACCAGGTTCATCCTGCTCTTTCTCCCTCTCTCTCTCTCCCTCTCTCTCTCTCTCTCTCTCTCCCTCTCTCTCTCTCTCTCTCTCTCTCTCTCTCTCTTTCTCTCTCTCTCTCCTTGCCTCCTCATTTGTCACCGCCCCCGTGGCTTTACCAGATAAGTGATGCACTGATCTCGGAACACCATGCGCAGTATCATGGTCCCAGTTCTCTACATCTGATGGCGTTCTTCGTGAGCCTGATATTTTGATTGATTTTGTCGCTTGTCATTCTAGCTTGAAGCACGAATCATCAATGCTGATTGTCCTGAGCCTTTTCTGCCCTTGTCCTCTGGCCCTCGCAGAGAGTGACTGGCGATGGCCGGTGACCTTGACCTGTGACCTCTGACCTGTTAGCACGGCGCCGCTGATGGTCATCGATGAAGAATGGCTTGCAACTAGTGACTAGTCGCCTATGGCCCACGATCCGTGACCCCTGTGACCCCTGTGACCCCCGTGACCCGCAGGCCCGTACCGGATACTGCTGACTGTAAAAGAGTACGAGCGAGGCCGGCTGCTGACAGTAGACGCCGACAGCTGGCTTCGACCCCGCCTCCAGCTGCAGGTCACGGACCTCAAGGACGGCGGCTGCTTTGTTCACCTGGGCATGACCTTCAACCGCACTTCGTCCCTCTTCCAGGTCTGAGCGCATCCAGAGGCTTCGACCTCCGGGATACCGGTACTCATACGTACTCAGTGCTGATCTTGGATCCGATCTTACCTAATCCGTGCTGGTCTTGGATCCGATGATACGTACTCCGTGCTGATCTTGGATCCGATGATATGTACTCCGTGCTGATCTTGGATCCGATGATACGTACTTCGTGCTGATCTTGGACCCGATTATACGTACTCCGTGCTGATCTTGGACCCGATCATACGTGCTCCGTGCTGATTTTGGACCCGATCATGCGTCTCTGATCTCTCGCCGCTGATCTCTGATCCCTGATCTTTGACCCTGCAGTATACGGTCGGCTGGGTCGGTCGCGTGATGACCAACAACCACTTCCGCCACTCGCTGTTCATGTTGCGCATGATGAGGACCGACGAGAACAGCTCACAGGAGCACCCCGACGATTTCCACGCCCTGGATGAGCTCAACGACCTCGAGGGCGTTGAGGTTAGCGACGAGGTCAAGGTCGACCTGTCCGGGAAAATATGACGAGTCGTGGAGAAGAAGTGGAGTGGGGGATGCGAGGGGGCGAGCTGCGGGGAATGAGCTGGTGGCGGGGCGAGCTGCGGGGAATGAGCTATCAGGTAAGCTATTAGGAGTTCATAGATGTAAGGAGAGAGGGAGAGAGAGAGAAAAAAAAGATAGGGAGAGAAAAGGAGAGAGACCCTTTTTCCTATGGTTTCAGGCGATGCAAGTGCACGGATGACCATACATCAGGCTTTGGGGGCGTTAGGTGCCAGTGGCTGGTGGGCAGCAGATTAGAATGTGCAGCGCAGTAAACTGTTAATCCTCAACAGCCCATCAGGCATAACACTTCACAGACGCTATGGCGAGCAGTGCAATTAATTAATCATTCAGCAAAAAGCCCGCATCAATACTGGTTGGGAAATTCTCCAAACGCGTTAGAGTACAAATAGTCTTTGGCCGTGTTTGGTGGTGGGTGCTGGCTTGATGACCCCAGACTATCAACTCAATGACGTCGCGCATGCCGTCAAGGAGAACAATGCCGCATTCGCTTGAGGGTCGCATGAGTGCCTGTCGGGCAACTCAACACCTTAATGGCCGAGCAGGCGTCTGCTCTGCTCTGTACTGATTCCGGTCGCGGATTGCTGTGCCGTGAGCATTCTGATATAAGTACTTAGTCACAACAACTGTGTGCCGTGAGCATGCTGATATGGGTACTTAGTCACAGCAACTGTGTGCCATGAGCATTCTGATATAAGTACTTAGTCACAACAACCGTGTGCCGTGAGCATTCTGATACGAGTACTTAATCATAACAACTGTGCTGTTTAGTTTGCCTCTGTCCTGGGCATGGTTGCTATCATGTCAATCTCGTGTGCTCAAGTCCTGACCTGGGTAGCACCCACAGTCTGATGTCACAGACTGAACGCTCCGCGATGCTCCGACACACCCAGGTCAAGCGGGAAAGTGATACTTTAACCTTTGTCTGGTGATGAATGATCCGAAGTAACGCTGTTGACAGGATTCTAAGGCCTTTTTGGTTTTGTTAAGCTTTTGTTTATCAACATGTATGGTTAGCTGTGTAGCTTAACGCGATGATCATCCCCTCTGTGAGCTTCTCTGGGGCCTTCACCTTTCTATTTGTACATTTGTATGCGCGCCGTGTGAATAAACTGCAATCGAACATTGCGCCCGGGCTTTTGCCACTTTAGAGACAGGGAGAGAGAGCGAGGGAGAGGACGTGATGTAGCTGTCCAACAACAGTGCGCGCTGCTCCGTTATGTCCAACATTGCAATCGTCTTTTCTAACGGCCACCTATACCATACATGGTGTGTGATACCGTCGCTTGACGTGGAAATGGTCTAAGCACTAGCTTAAAAACAAAATCGAGCCATCAGGTCCAGTCGATCATCTCCGAATACGTGAGCGCGTAGCCAACTACCAAAACCCCGATTACCTCGGCCCTAGTTCGGCAAGGCAGGAAACATTATGATGCGAACATTATCGATAATTACGTTATGACTACCCACGAGCGCCAGTATTCATGGTATACAGCGTGAAGAGACGCACCACCAGCGACAGCGACAGCGACACCGTTCGACACCTCGTCAGAGGCGCAGAACGGTGTCTGAGCTGGCCCGGTCACTGCATACAGCTATCCCACAACGATCGTCCCGCGCCGACGACGGCAGCGCCCGCTTCAACAAACACGCGTCCAAATCCGTGCAAGGTACGCCGATCGACCGGTGCCGCAGGGGCGAACCGCCGCCGGCCCCGCGCGGCGCCGTGGCCTCTACGGTGACGACCCTCGGCGGACGTCACGGGTCGGGCTGATTATCCGAGGAATGGCCCGGCCACGACACGCGAGCCGGTCAGTTGCCCGGGGCTATAGGACGGGGCGGCGGGGCTGGGAGTCAGCAGGTGTCTCCGCTCCTCCGGTGCTGGTCTTCTGCACGGTGAGTAATGGTAGACGGTGATTTGGTGTCAGAAGAGGTCAGGTATGCGACTACCTGAGGTCATGTTAGGTCAGCTAGGCGGTAGCCTGAGGTCAGGTGAGGTCAGGTAGGTCGTGACCCGAGGTCAGATGTGGTCAGGTATGAGGTGACCTGAGGCCAGATTAGATTACGAAAATGGTGACCTGAGGTCATGTGAGGTCAGGTAGCCGGTGACTTGAGGTCAGATGTTCAGGAATTGGCCGCTGATAGAGCCTGATGGGCTGAGATAAAACCGATCGCGCCGCAAACATGCCCCGGGTTAAAAAGTTGCCGTCATGTTTGCTATTTTGAAAAGCTGAGAACGACGGCAAACCCTCCGCAGGTGCCGGCTTTGACATAGAAAATCACAGGACCAAACACACGCACACGCACAGACATACAATATTTTTCCACAGTAAACGTCTCTCTCCTTTCCTCCGTGCGCCCCGTTGGCGGCGTGCCGCGCCTGTCGGCCGAGAGGAGGGCTCGAGGCCGCCCCGATCATAAGTCCCATCGCAGCACGTTCACACCCCCTGGAGCGGGAGGTACCCTACGATGGATGCAGTTCATAGTAGGCCAGCGTTCCCCACCTCTTACCGCCCTCCTTAAACCCACAGACCACTCGTGCAGCGGTCGCTCAGGGCCAATAGCTCTGTGCACCAAACCAGAGCACTATAGGTGTCACGACTATTCTGGGTCACCCCGCTCTAGACAGCGCTCTTGTTTTATAAACCTCCATTATTTTTATGATGCATTTAAAACAGACAAATCCTTGCCATTTTCAGTTCCACGGCTGAAGGAGGCACAGATTTGCAGAGTTAAAAAATAATTAAACTGTTAAATACAATTTGCATTCTGTCACCCGCAGAAAACGTTGTTTTGTTCCCGCTCGGGCCAGCAGACGTCTTACCAGTGATTGCAACGTTATCACGTTTTGTTTAAAGGAAATCTTTCACATTCGAAGATTTTAAAGCGTGCATCAAACATGAACTAAGTTCACTTCCACCTATCGGCACGCTTTTGAATGGAAAAGGCTGCTCTAGGCAACACAATTTATCTGTTTCATACAAACGCTGGTCAATACCTCATTGCTTAATTATGTCACGGCATCTTGCACATATTTGATTGAGAGCCACTTGACGACCGTTTTATCTGGAAATCCTGCTCACGAATGCCAGATGTAACAGACCTGACAGCTGCAAACTTATTGGCCTTGATCGCCGCATGGCTAATGAAATGGCAGGATTCGAATGACGTCATTATGGCGTCATGCATGCCAGGGTGTCCTTCAAATAGTTTTCCCAAAATAATCCGCGCATATTCGCGGGCGTGTATCTCAGAAACTAGATGGCTTAGGTCTTAAAAAGGTCAGGGCTTTTCAAACTCCATGCATATAAGGAACACTCCGTTTAATGTCGGTGCTGAAAGGGTAGAGTTTTGTGAAGAAAAAAGCCAATAATCTGGCTTAAAATCCTGCTAAAAAGGAAATACATGTTGAAGTATTAAACACGTTTCGGCGCCTGGGATTTCATCCATGAATCCTTCAGGACACAGCCGACACTGCTCGATCACGCTTCCTTGCTTGGAGCCTCGTGACGTACGGCAAGCATGTTCCTCCATGGTTCGAATGAATATTTAAATGGTACCTTCCACAGCTGTGATCCCCGACACACTTTCCTTGTAATTATATTCACAATGGGACTATGATGCAAATCAGGCGGATGCACTCCCGTTCGCATTGCCGTTCACACATAGCATTAGCATACCTTTAAGCCATCCTTCTCAGGCAAACCAATGCCGTGCCTGCAAGGAGTTGAATGAGTCCTCGAGGTTATCCGGTCGCGGTGAGTGAGCTGTTTGGGAGCGAGACGGTCTTGATGGCTGATGGCTTCTCCCAAACAGTTGCTTCTGCTGGTCCGTGCTGGTCAGGGAATCCCATTACCAGGTTTTGACATTAGAACTGCAGGCAAGATAGCCCATCACAGTACGCATACGGCGAAGGATGGAAGTGGTAGCAGCGTCTGAAATCCTGCCCGTGTCGTTTGAAACAAGTAGCTGTTGTATACATTTGGACGACGCAGGTGTGTCTATGAGCGGGTATGTACAGCGGGCAGAGGTATGCGGCTACGGGCACTCAGCTTTTGTTTCTGCGTTAAAAACCCAATGCGTGCTCGAAAGTGGTCTTTTCACATGAGAAGCTATTAGGTCTTACAGCACCTCCTAGGTGGCACACTGGTGTAGCGATCTTTGGAATGACGTCTGGAGAGAGCTCCAACAGCTGTTTTTTTCTGAACTAACGTATGAATGGCGTGGCGTAGCCTTGCTAAGCTCTGTAGGGCTGTGGGTAATACAATAGCCAATCTTTCCATCATAACAAGTAGACATCCTTGTAAGGTTTCTTAGCTGACCAGCAGGCTTTACACAGACCATGTCTGTCAGGGAAGGCAGTTAAGCGAATTGTTTTTCTTAAACAATCGTACTGCTGAAATTAGGTTTACAGCTAGTTCTCGGTCAGAATTAGACTCTGGTTTCTAGTCAGGTATTGGACGATTGGTTAAGTATGAATGTCAGATTAAGTTCAAGACCAAGCCGATTTTTTATTGAAAAACTTACTGCATGCCGTACGTTTTGTTGCTCATATCAAATTCATAGATGACAACGCAACAAAGCTTTCGTATTTTGTTTGCATGCGGGTCAGATGGGGTCACTGATCTAAAATGACCTTGATCAACCTATTGCTTTGGAGTGCATGCCACAAATGGTAGCACTTGGCACCGGCTGCTAATTCAAACATCCAAATTGTTTCGAAGGATTTGGGCGCCTTTTACCTTGTAAAGGTCGTCTGTGGTCACTGATGTGATGCGAATGCTAGCGACCCTTTTAAAAGGAGAATTATGGGAAAGCTGGCAGCATGAGAGGTCTGAATGCACTTTAAATACCAATCTGGAATATGACCTTGTTTTGCCTTATTTGACCTGAATGTAACCTAAGCGCCTTAAAGTATGACACAGGTAAATCACAGAGATCCCTACCTATCTTGTGAATGTGGTGCTCCTGACTTTCATGACAGCCTTGAATCTCAGGGTGCGGGGGGCGCCAATCGGTCTCCCCCACCGCTCGAGCGTGACGTATTGAATCGGTCACCAGGAGGACGCGTTTTAACACGCACTCGGGTGGGGGCGGTTTTACATTCCGAAGCTTTTTCAAATTCATTTTCGAACGGCCGCTTAGCCATGTCAAATTTTCCATCGTTATAGAGCATTGCCTGGTGTCAAAAATGTAGATGTACCTTGTAAGGTTGCTGATTTATGGCAGGTCAAAGTCAGGCCATGGATTCAGCGAAGGCAATCTCCAGGGAATCATTCAATCAGGTGCAAACACGGAGTGTTAAGGCAACACAACAGTTGAATAAGCTATGACCTAGGTCCCGGTAAGAACGTCAGACAAAGGTCAAAACAAACCTGCGAAAAGTTTCCTTTTTAGGGTCGTTTATTGTGCTCATTTTTGATATGGCAATAACGAGGAAAGCTTCATTCATCTTCCATGGACTTCTGGAAGGTCAGGAAAAGTCACTGACCTAAAATAACCCAGGTCAGTATTTGGTGTGATAGGAACATATCGCCTAGCATAAGCCCTGATGTTTATTCAAATGCAAAAATCAGTGCAATCTTGTATCATTTTGCTCACCATGAACATCTTGAAGCCAAACAGTCATTGGCTTTAAATGAGAACCAGTGGCACTTTACTTAGCACGAGTATCCAGGCTCACAGCGGTCGCATGCGGTTTGGGACACTTTGGGTGCCACTTTGGAGTTTGTCGTTGCTTGACCTTATTTAACTAGAAGGCCATGATCTAGGAGCCTCAAAGTTTGACACTAATGAGTTCGCATACAGCAAATACAAAATATACACCCTGTAAATTTGGCATTTCTAGCCGTCTTAATTTTGAGATCTCGGGAGGTCAAAATGACCCCCCTACGAAAGAACGGTACTCAACCGGCCACTAGGGCGCGTGTTAAATCATACCGGCTTTCTTGAATCGGTGTAATCTTCTTGTTCGTGGTCGCTCAGCTCCAAAGGAGAATAACCCGATTTGAAAAGGTGACAACAGTTCAAAGCTATAAATGAAACAGTTGGATCTAAGTTTATGACGTCCGTGGGAGCCTAAATATCAGCATGCTCGCCGAACGATGTTACGAAGAACAACAAAACTAGATTGCCATCCAACTTTTGAAACTCAGGGTTTGCTTTGCTCACAGCGTTCATAACGGACGCATTGGGCGCCCATCTGGTCACCATTCGCATCTCCACGACATATCCAACGGCTAAATATCGATTTTAAACCATACGATTATGATTGTTGCTGGCATTGCCATGGCACGCACCGGCAACCGTTCACTCCAAAGGGTAGCTAATTACGCCCAAGAGCGCACTCAAAACTATACCTTGAATATGTCACCTTTTAATCTTAGGAATAGGGAACAGCTTAACTATTCGCACTTAGGCGATGCGTCTTTCATCGCGTCGCTAGTCCAACTGCGAATGGGACCGTTTTTTATGTCATGAATCCTTTTACTCACAATCTCTTTGCACCAATCGATCCCTTTACGCCGGATTTGTTGCTAAGTGATAGGCCTACAATCATCCGCAAAACCTCAGCGCGCCATCATTTGGCCTCTGAAAGTCACCGCCTAGCTCATTTGATACCACAGTCAGTACCAAGGCCAGCATCGTGCGCAGGCAACCGTCTCTGGCCGGCCGCCTGTGGCCCGCCGGGGCGTCGCGTGCACCACCGCCTCAGGGCATCGAGCGACCATCCTGGACACGTGACCCGCCTCGGGCGCGCAGACACGCGACCGCGCCGGAGCCAGTAGCGAGTCCAGGCGCGGCGAGGAGGCGGCTGCAGGGGCGGACACAGGCATACACGTCCTGTTAACTCTGTATGATGGAAGGTGTGACGCTCGATGGTGGCTATTTGGCACAGACATCGACTGTAAAATTAATTATATAACCTAACAGTTGCAAAGCTAAAACGGATACCAAAGGCAAAGAGCAAATCACACTGCGTCGTAATGGTTGCCGTCTGGCGCAAAGTCGCGTCCGTTCAATATGCACTATTGTTGTTCCACAGCATCTCCAGCATCGGCTGCCCCAGGTGGATCAGCATGCGCGCCCTCTTGGCCATCCTGTGCCAGCTGGCGACGCTGACGATCGCTCAGGACCGTGGTGAGTTTGCTTGGTCCGCCAGGGGCTCAGCTGGGCGCAGGATCATGCGGACCACAGCTATAACCGGACCGGAGGGCCTCAGCTGGGCGCAGGGCCATGCGGACCACAGCTATAACCGGACCGGCGGGCCTCAGCTGGGCGCAAGGCCATGCGGACCACAGCTATAACCGGACCGGAGGGCCTCAGCTGGGCGCAAGGCCATGCGGACCACAGCTATAACCGGACTGACAACACGGAATGTCGTATCAGCTGTCCTGTCCGGGAGGTGCAGCTGCTGCCCCTGCCGGCCATCCGTTCGCCGTCGCCGATGTCTTACGGGAGCCTGGCTGGGCGGCACCAGAGCCCCCTCCCCACCCCATTCCTCGCTTGACACCTTCTCTGTAGCTCAGCTGCAGCTCTCTGTAGCTCATCTGTAGCTCAACTGCAGCTTAGCTGTAGTTCCCTGATGCTCTCTGTAGCTCAACGCTGTAGCTTCATATAGCACAACTGAAGATCTTTGTAGCTCAGCTGTATCTCAGCTGTAGCTTTCTGTAGCTCTGTGTAGCTCAATGCATGGAGTGAAGCGTGCCGAATTCGTGGTAGACGCTTGGATTTACCTGCCAGAAACTGTGTCGTGTCAAAAAAGCTTTTGTTTCTTCTTAAAGATGCACGACATCGCTTTCCATAACAAAAGTTTGTAGAAAGGGGGTCTGGCTTACCAGATACGTCGGTTTTTGGGCGTACGTTTTTCGTCAGTTAGGCTAAAAATTCACTGAATTGTTTGAGCAGTTAGGTGAAAACGCTATAACCATACTCAGCTGGCAGACATGCCGACATCCCTGCAGGTCCTATGCTAAACAAAGATGGATGTATCGGAGATGGTACAGCAGGCGTATAGCTTAAAATATTAGCTACAGTTAGCTCTACAACCATAACCCGCGATTGAAAACAAAAATGAACGGAACATGCCATCTGAAACTGGCTTCTCGTATCAAAGATGACCAAACGTGTCACGTGGTCATGCCATTTGATTTCGCTGTGGAGCCAGTAAACATACATTCTCAGTACATGTATATAGCCTTTGCTAATCGGCCCAGTTAGCGAAATCTAAAAACCGATATTAGCAAAATTATCGGCTGACACGTTGCCACGCGTTTGACCTTTTGAAAGTTGGTGCCGACCCCAGCAAGTACAATCACTAGGACATGACATCCGCTGGGACATACCATTCACTGTGAAACGATATTCACGAGACATGGCATGTGCCGGGAAATGACGTGCACGGGGACGCGATAGTCACCATTTAGTGCTTCAGGAAGACAACAGTTGGCATTTCGCTAACGATCAAAGCTGAAAAGAACCATATTGGTTGTACACGGCATACTGGTTGTATGTAGGTGAGATAACCTACTCCCTGGGTTTAGCATACACGTAGGGTGGCATACTCCCTGCGTTGATAGCATTGGTTAACTCACTTTGCACCTGTTTAGTCGCATTATCGGAATACAGTGTAGTTGACACGTGATTACTCTGTCTACTGGGTCCTTGTTAAGCATCTTTGGTGTTCTAAACGGAGTGCCCCACATTTGGATGGGGTTTGGAACTGAAATGGTCAGCTTGAACCCCATTTGGTGCAGTTCACAGCCCTGCCCTTCTAAAGACCTAAGCCCCCTCTTGTTTCTGGACCATGCGCCCGTTAAGGTGTGCACACCATTTTGTGCAAGCTATTTCAAGGTCGCACGGTCATCCGTGACGCCATAATAACTTAATTTAAATCCTGCCAATCCATTGGCCATGCGCCGATCGACACAGATCAGATATAGTTGTGGATATCTACATAGCATATCTGGCGTTCGCGAGTACGATTTGCATATTTAAGGGCCGCTAATGGACTCTCAAACAATGTTGTGCAATGTGCGATGACGCAAACAACAAAAGACGCATCAGGGGCATATTTACTAGGCAGAGCAAGTGTAATGTCTAGAACAGTTTGTTCCAGCTAAAAGTATGATGTAGTATGGTTATAAATGAGCTTATTTTATCATAACTGGAGCTCGCTTCAATATTGGCAAACGTGGAACGCCCCCTTTAAGGACATAACAACAAAACTCTGCAAGTAATTCCGGGCTTAAAAAGTCAATTAGTGTCTCATTAGGCATTAACCTAGTTCCCATCATTAAACACTCGTTCAAAGTCAATTACTGTCTCATTAGGCATTAACCCTGCTTCCATGATTCAACATTCCCTCAAGACCATGCCACAAACTTTTTTGTGACTGCTGGATCTTCCATAGTGCCATAACAAACTTGAGCTATTTTATTTTTGTTGTTGAAAATTACCTTCCTTCGACATGCCAGAAAGTACCGGTTTAAGCAACGTTATCGAACGAAATCGATGTTGCTAATATGAGAAAGTTTGACGTGACGAATCGGTGCTCATGCCCATGGCAAATGCTCGAAAACAACAAAAACGGTCTCAGGATGCTCACAGTCAAATGCTGAACCCTTTCTTTCTCACACCAAGTACACAATTTCCAGTCCGATGTCCTAGGTTGGCCAATCAAAAACATCTTGCACTGGCGTCTAATGATGTAGTTGAGCAGGCGAAGGTGCACTAGGACTCCATCATAACCTACATCATGCACTACATCATGACCTTCATCATGCACTACACCATGACCCACCCAATTGGGCTCTCACACGCTTAACTTTCTAGCTGACCGGACCGACCGACCGACGACGAAATGAGAAAACCGCTTGTCCAGCGGAAGTAATCGCTTTCGCCTGCCGGCCGCGCATAAGGCATTTTGGATAAACATTAGTAACCTCGACTTCTTGTGGGAGATGTCCTCTCGAAATCTCCGGGTCTGATAGAGCATCGACCCGGGGCGATTCTCCTGACCCGACCTGACTTGTTCTCTGTCCGGCACCTTACCAGATTTGTGCGGCATCTGACCGGCGTCCTGCCCACGTGTGCCGCAGAGTATAAGATCTGGGATGCCAGCTACGGCAACCTCATCTGCTTCAGCTGCTCGCTGGACTTCCGCTGGAAGCGCTTCAACGGACGCGATCCCTGCTTAGGGCTGTACGAGCCGCTGAACAAGACCAACCTGGTGCGCTGCGGGCAGAACGAGATCTTCTGCAAGGTAAGAGGTCACGGGGAGCGACGACCGTGGCCAGGCTGGAGTAGCGGAGCCACTGGAGCGCGTGACAACCCCTTGGTTGGGGTCAAGCAAGTGGGTGTTGCTGCGCTGCTGTGATTACAACTTCCAGCTGCGGGTACTGACTATGAAGGTCGCTTTGTTGGCGTGGCAATTTCACCTGTTGATGCTTAGAACGTGGCCGATGTGGACATGTTCTTTATTTCTCGAACATGTCTCACCATTCCAGCTAAATCGTATGTGTGGTTGAGTGCTTTGTGTAGAGTGCGAGCATCAAAGTGAACGCGGAAGATCATGGCAGGACTCTTGGGTGTGTGCTCCAGGGAACTAGCTTTCTGACGGCTAACGGTGTGTTGCCAACTGTGCGTACGTTTGCGTGTTTCAGGACTTTCTGACGGCTGACGGCGTGATGCCAGATGTGCATTTGTCTGCGTGTTTCAGGAGAACTTCCTGACGGCTAAAGGCGCGCTGTCGACTCCGAGTGTGTATGTCTGCGTGTTTCAGGAGGACTTTCTGACGGGCAACGGGGTATTGTGGACCGTGCACCGCCAGTGCACGGCCATCTGCTACGCCGGGTGCCGCCCGCGCGGGTTCGGCATCACCCACACCACCTGCACGCGCTGCTGCACCAAGCACGGCTGCAACTCCAGCCCGCCCGACCAGCTAGGCAGCGGTTACCAATCCAAGAAGCGCAACTAGCGGCGACGCCGCACCGTTGTCGCCGCTGCGGTCTTGCGAAAATGTTTGTGTGGGTTCCCGGTAGGTTTTGCGAGGTTTCTGCGCGTTTGCGAGGCGTCGTTATTTTTGGGGAAGGTTGAACCCGGCCTTACATGGGCGGTTATGCGCCAACGCAGGTTTTGCCGCTGTTGTATGCGCCATTGTTTCGGAGTTTTCCATTGGCACGTGCGATGCTCGAGCGGTGCGCCGCCGATGTGCGGTCGTTGCTCTCTGACAGCTGTCGCTCCGGGCCGGCGACAGCGCAACTGGCTGGTGCTTCAATGTATGGACTCAGCAAAACTCTGACCAAACTTGAAGTCGGTGATTATCGACCCGGAAACGCCCAGCGGATGTCTGAATCGACCCGGAAACACCCAGCGAATGTCTGAATCGACCCGGAAACATTCAGCGGATGCCTGAAGCGTGGGCATGCTCGTGAAAATCGTCGGAAGACGCAATGCTGGACGCAGTGGTTGGGACCAGATGTGTCGAGCATGGCAAAGGCTGACCGCAGACGCTGTGAACGCGTGTTTTGTCAGGTCACGCGCTGCGACTGGCAGGCGGACATGCGGGTGAAACAAGGACATGTCTAAACAAGTCATGCTGAGACATGCGAACTGGGGTCATGTCGTTGTTGTTGGCCGCACCTGGACCGGACGCAAATTGTCTGCACGTGACGCAGGAGCATGACGTCCAATCTGACACCATGACTCATGACGTCCAGCCTGACACCATGACTCATGACGTCCAGTCTGACACCATGACTCATGACGTCCAGCCTGACACCATGACTCATGACGTCGAGCCTGACACCATGACTCATGACGTCCAGCCTGACACCATGACTCATGACGTCCAGCTTGATACCATGACTCATGACGTACAGCCTGACACCATGACTCATGACGTCCAGTCTGACACCATGACTCATGACGTCGAGCCTGACACCATGACTCATGGCGTCGAGCTTGACACCATGACTTATGACGTCCAGCCTGACACCATGACTCATGACGTCGAGCTTGACATCGTGACTTATGGCGTCGAGCTTGACATCATAACTCATGGCGTGAAGCCAGCACTGTCAGGAGATGGCGGTGTTTTGGAGAAGGACGTTTAATATTCCTGTACTGTTTATAAATATACCTATGTATATATATATATATATATATATATATATATATATATATATATATATATATATAAGCAGATCTCCTTATCGTCCGAATCACCCAGCGTTCAGCTTTATTAATATTCTCACCTTGAAACTTGTGGTAGTTAGCTATGCCCCCCTTATCATGTTGTCATCATTGCTTCAATGTTGATGGGCCATGTCGAAGCATCTTGATCTAAATAAAAGTCAGTGTAATATGGGCCATGTTGATGAGCCATGTCGAAGCATCTTGATCTAAATAAAAGCCAATGTAATATGGGACGTGTTGATGGGACATGTCGAAGCATCTTGATCTAGATAAAAGCCAATGTATATGAAGGCTTATGTCAGACACAATATCAGAATACACATGCACCGAACCTCTTCCCCAAATGCATGCCATAAATTCATTAAAAGAAGGCAGCAAGCACGCAGCTTTTGGAAACATTCGATCCGCTGGTCTCGAGCCTGCTGACCGGACACCACGCGCCACCGCTGGCAGTCCCAATGCTGGACCAGGTCGCAGTCGGTGCCACCGCCGCTCGGACAGACAAGTGCGTTGCTGTTACAGTCAGGATCTCGAACAACGAGACTATTTGTTGGATGTCAGATTGCGATGATCCCATCGCACGGGATTCACGCAAGCTCGCGCCACCAAAGGCCTGTAGACAAAGTCTCGCATCGCCAAGGGCGCGCAGACAAAGGCTTGCGTCACTGAAGGCCTGCAGACAAAGGCTCATGTTACTAAAGGCCTGCAGACAAAGGCTCGCATCGCGAAGGACCTGAAGACAAAGGCTCGTGCCACCAAAAGCCTACAGACAAAGGCTCATGCCAATAAAGGCCTGCAGACAAAAGCTCACGCCACTAAAGGCCTGCAGACAAAGGCTCGCACCACTTAAGGCCTGCAGACAGAGGCTCGCGTCACCAAGGACCTGCAGACAAAGGCTCGTGCCACCGAAGGCCTGCAGACAAAGGTCACGCCACTAAGGGCCTGCAAACAGAGGCTCGCGTCACCAAAGGCCTGCAGACAGCGGACCACCGGTCGCAGTGCCGCTCGACTGCCAGCTTCCGACGCTGGAGTCCGAGTGCAGCACGTGCTCGAGTTGCTTGAAAGGTAGTGCTCGACATTTGAAAATACTGAAGCAAGCTCCCGATGTCCTGAAATAGGCTCAGTTGTGACTATTGGTATGCTTCTGAGTAGAAAATACTGCTCTATATGACACGCTTTATCTATTTAGTAAATATGCCCCTCAACGCGTCGTTTTTTTATCGCCTTATGAAACATGTGTAGGGTGTTGTGGTGCCGCCAGACTTGCCGCAAGAAATTGCCTTCCCGCATGTATTAAAACATTCGTGTAGTGAAGCATGACCAATCTAAAACTATTGCAGGTCACACTACGTGTGGATTACCGACTACGCCGGCACAAAGTCACCAGCGTGTCCGACTGGTCGTGTAGATCCGTAAAATCATCGCCGTCTGTCAGACTGGAGGACGGCCGAACACAGAGGCGTAGTTTCGCGAGATGAATTCAGAGAAGGGGCTGAACAGCGAAAAAAGGCTCTGCCTTACCCGCAAAAAGCAACAAACTCCGGGCTCCTACCCGGATTTGGGCCTATCTTTTCTCGAAGTTGTGCGGGAGTTGGCAAAGTGCCGTTTCATCTCGCATAAATGTTCTGCTTGATGTGCACTGCAGGAACACAGCCAGAATTTTGACGATGGGGTGGGATGGGCATGGGGATAAATGGTCAACGAAATGCTCTCTGATGGCGAAAGGCCTGTGAAAAGAAGGTTGAAAAAGCTTTGCAGTACGTGGCCAAGCCATGTTTGTATGAAATTATTCAACATTGAGTCAAAATTGATAAATGACGATGTTATGTACTTAAGATTTGAGCATGCGTGCTGGCAATTTTTAGCAGCACAAACCTCCACAGTCGGCGCTGCAGTCTCTGCAGGCCGCGCGGCATCGGCCCCGCCCCGACACCGCGGCTAACACTCAGCAAAAATGATGATGCGTCTAAAATAAGCATCTTTGAGCCCGCTAGAGCATCAGTCTGTACGTTTGGAACATAGTCAGTGCGTCATAAGCTTCACCTGTGCGACATTTTGATCTAAAGTAAGAACGCACCAGCCTTTACAGCACCGCGAATTTATGGTGGAATCTGGAAAGAGTCAACATCTATGATCTATAACTTTTAGTGTTGCTGTTACTGTAAATCTGCAGAGAACATCCCCAAAATTAACGAGAAAAGATTATTTAACGACGTTATTAAAATCTATTATTTAACTCATTATTTAACGAGACTCCATTCAGCGATCCCCCCTCTCACCCAACTTACTTTCCGGTCCCTACAACTTCGACGTGAGACGGGGCGAAATCCGGAGAGGAACCCGTTTGTTCGTGCTTTTTTCGTGGTAGGTTGAGTCGTGTTTGGCTAATCAGCTACTCCGTCCAGCTGATTTTGCGCAACTACACCCCTGTGCCGGGTTATTTCTCAGTTTGAGAGCAGGCGATCGTCTTACAGATCAATCCTACCAATCGGACATGCACGTGACTTCGTGCCAGTGCGCAGTCCATGATCAATCCGTAGCGTGGTATGCAGTAGTTTTAGATAGTTTCGCCATGCCCGTGGTGTATTCTCAGATGGTCATGCTCAACTACACCAATGATTCAATATACGCTGTCACCCTAGCGCTTACTCGTTAGCACTTCAAACCTACCGAGAGATGGCAGCACGTGGTTGAAGTTTTCGCTGAGCCAAATATCGTTGTGTGCTCGTGCTTTAGCCCTCTACCATGCATATCCATCCGTGAGTTTAAGAAGTTTACTTACATTCACATGCTCGGTTACGGCCTGAGTTAATTCGACTACAAGTCGCGTTTCGGTAATATCTTGGTAAATGTATAACTTCCCGCATGATGTAGAACAACGCATAATTCAGCACCTTGCGTGGCATATGCAACATTAGTTGACAGCCAGTTGATGGCCTTGATATCAGGAAATTGTGCGCACGAATGCCAGATATGAGCGACTTGACAACTATGTTTGCTTGACCTTGAACGTCCTGTAACCAGTGGATTGCCAAAATTTGAATGACTTCATTATGGCTACGTGCATGCTTGGGTAACCTTGGACATTCGCTACGAGACTGTATGCACATCTTGACGGGCGCATAGCTCAGGATTTAGAGGGTTTTGTGTTTTAAGAAGGACAAGACCGTGAACTGCACCGGATGGTCTTCAGAATGGCTATTTCAGTTCAAAACCTCATACAAATGTGGACAAAAACCCCATACACTCTCTTTAAGAACCACAACAGCTGGCAAGCGTCGGTGAATACCTCATAGAGACCTCCACGCCAGCGGCGGACCACACCCGGCAGGCGACGCCAGCGGCGGACCGCACCCGGCAGGCGACGCCAGCGGCGGACCGCACCCGGCAGGTGACGCCAGCGGCGGACCGCACCCGGCAGGCGACGCCAGCGGCGGACCGCACCCGACAGGCGACGCCAGCGGCGGACCGCACCCGACAGGTGACACCAGCGGCGGACCGCACCCGGCAGGTGACGCCAGCGGCGGACCGCACCCGGCAGGTGACGCCAGCGGCGGACCGCACCCGGCAGGCGACGCCAGCGGGAGGGCTGGCGGTCGTCGAAGGTCACGCAAGAGCTCTCCGCGGGGCAAGGGTGTGTCCTGGGCAGGGAACACGGGCTGCCCGTGAAAACATTGTTGAAGTATTTATCTGAAGTTCGCTGATGATAGCTGAGGCGCCTGCCACCGCGCTTTCTCCAAAAAGGAAGCATTCTTCCACGAAGCAATGTCCACCTCCGACCCCGCCATGGCCGCTGAATGTCAACTTCGCATGATCTTCACATGGCAAGGTCATGCCGGGGGTCAGTCGCCGCTGAGCCAACTCCAGACTGCTGAGCGGGACCGTCAGACGTCAGACGTCGCTGGAACACTGCTCCGGGGAGCACGGTGTTCCAGCGACGTCTGGCGGGCCGCCTGACATGCGAGAGTGCTGTGCAGAGTCGCCTGAGATGTGCACATGGGGCACGGAACAAACACCGCCCGCACCGGGCTGTGACTAAGGTGCTAGCGCGGATGCCGAATGACTCGAGCAGGGCAGATATCCCGCCGCGTAGAAGAGTGCTATCGACACGCTGAAGTTGTTTACTCTCCAAGTCCGCGCGAGCAGCACATGTCCGCCTCCTAGGCATTCAGAGCGTTTCTGTGTGATAACATCTTTACATCCGTTTCGTGCTCGTGAGCTGTCACATCACCGTTGTCTCTGAACAGCATCGTGACATAATGACTTGCATCACGCTGCTCTTCGCTTTAAATGTGCCGCCGGGTGCTGAGGGAGGGGTAGTGTACAATGTTCGCTGAAAGCTCACTGAGAAAAAAATATGTACACAACTCCTACTCCTATGAGAGGCGAATGAGATGCAGAGACCATTTCGATGACATGAGCAATGGATCTTATACATGCTGATGTTAGCGTTCGTCATCTTTTATTCGCTAGTTTTCAAAATGTTTTGTTCATCGCACGCTGTCAAATCAAACACCAATCGCTTGCATTCATCTAGGAGGTCACTGCTTGAACGCGTACGATCCGAAGAAATTCAGTTTTGACCTACAGTGTTGTCCCAAACTGGGACATAATGGCAACAGTAAACGGGTCATAAACACTACAGTTTTTTCACCTAAGCTATTGAAAGATTGTCTATCTTAGACTGAAACTGTCTTTTTGAGGGCGTCCATATGCCACCATATCTGCTGACTCAGTCACTTGGAAGCATAACGCTACAGGCGACACCTGACATGAATCAGCACTGAAGTTTTGACATTTACTGAATCCACACTGCACTGGCATTGGCAGCCAACCGCGCCTCGCCGAGGCAGAGTCTTCCGTCGGTTTAACTGGAAACATGCTGTGGTTTGATTTCGCTGCTGCTTGTGGGAATTGACGGAGTTCAAAAACACAAGCTCACTGACGTCAAATACGCTGACCTTCGTAAATGTATTTATCATTTTGAAAATAACTCGCGGCTTTTGAAAACATGAAGTATATCACCCTGGATCATTCGAGTTGGCTTGCTCAGTCCAAAGACCGCATGTTGACGACAGTCTGCACGCAGGTCTGGGTCACAAACGGCACTTCACTGCTCCGATCAAACGACAAGCGCGTCCTAATACCCCTCGGGACGGCAAACAGAAGCCGGTTGGTAGCTGGCTTGTCTCGTCAGCAGGCAGTGGCCGCTGGGCGCCACCAGATATGGACACCCGTCACAAGGGAGCCCCGACTGGACAGGCAGGCTTGTCGATGCAGGAGAGACGATCTAAGGATCGCACCGCTGACAATAACCGGTTTCAAACAGGATACTTGGCAGCGTGATTTTCTTCTTCTGAAGGCCAGAAGCTCAGCACGTGCCCCATTTCTCTGTAGACCACAGCAGCGCACAGGTCTACTCGAATCCATGTGGGGAAAAGCGGACAAGTTTTTCGGCGGCCTCAGCACACCGGACAGGAGGGGAGGCGCCAGGGGAGACGCAGACTAGTGGCCACGAGCCCCTCGGCTCCCGCTGGTAGAGGGCGCGACTCTGATACTCTGAGATCAGAGCTATAGGTGAGGCTCTAATCGGTCGGAGATCGCGCACCACTGCCAACAATTGCACTGCAGGTCTTTACGCAACACATGTGCCTCGTTTTGACCGGCATCACTTAATATTGTCAAAAATGGCAGATCCTGCGGGACTGCGGAAACATTTGGGTAAAGTTTACCTGAAGCTAGGCTAGTCATCTGAATGGCACGCCAAAGCGTTGTCTTCAAGTTAAGCACGCCTCTATACAGCAGAGCAATGTCGCCAACATCGCCACCCGGGGGCTGACTGAGAGCGTTCACATCTGGCCAGCGTGCACCGATACCACGTCGGCACTACAAAGGCACTACAACGCAACGCCGCCAGAGGCCGACACCTTGAGGGATCAGCAGCACGTATGGTCAAAACGGCAGGGTACAAAAGGCGAGGGTCGTTTCCGTTCTCACATGCTGCCAAATGCCTTCACGCATCGCTCCGGCAGCACCAGCACTTATTGTTCTGACAGCACCAGCAGCACGAGGTTGGCAAAACCAGCTCTAGGCGCGCAATGTTAGACTCCTTCAGCACTAGAGACACTTCCGATGCCATTTGTGAGTCCTACACACGCAGACAGAGGACGTCAGCTAGACAATTCCATATTTGCGGTCCTACTCAGCCTCAGGCAACAAGCATGCCTCTGATCGCCGACAACAGCTCTAGACGCGCCACTGGTAGTCATCCATGAGCTCCAGGATGGCGTTGAACGAGCCCACCAGCTGCTCGATGTGCTCTGGTGTCATGTGTCCTCGGCCAGTCTCGGGTAGGTGCTCTACTGTCCGCTGCAGATCCTCCAGTTCCGTCACATTCTGCAGCGCTGCCTGTTGGCGACCGAGAAAACCGCTGGTTACGGGAGGGTCCGAGCGGAGAAAAACTCACCGCGTTTCTCCAGATGACGATAACAACTACCACCGGTGTCACCACACCGCGTGTGGAAAACCAGAGCTGCGGAGTTCTATTCTCTATGGTACCCACTTTTCCTGTCAGAGTGAGAGGCGGGTGACACCGTATAGCCTCAGCAGCTGGGCGCGTCGCAAAGCCCCAGTGGTGACGCTGACGACATCGGTGCCAAGCTCCGCTTTAACCCTTCCTCTTTGTCCTTTTGTCCTAGCGTTTACAGGGGATAATCGTTTATGGGTTGGATCGAGTGCGTTGCATGTACAAAGTTCACAAAGACGGGGTTAACCACGACATTTCAAAGCAAAACTACTCAAATCGGCAACACGCGCAGTGGCCGCCCCAGCGCTGGGGGGGGGGGGGGGGGGGGGGGGGCGGGTATCATTTCTTGGAAATTGTTGGGGCGGAGGGGCTGAGCCGAAGGTCCTACAGCCTGCCCCTCATGATTTGGTTCACTAGGCTCATTCGATTTAGCCCACTTTATTTTGATTTGAGGTAATATATGTTTTTAATCTTTGTATAATCTATAAGCCTTTAATTCAAGCAACAGAGAAGTCATGCAGGGTTGGATCCAGGAAGCAGGCGCTGGACGCACATGTCACTTCCGGTCGGCAGGTGCGGTTGTCCCAGACACCCAGCGGGGCGCGGGTTAAAGGGAGTGCCCCACATCTATATTGTGTTCTGAACTGAAATCGCAGTCTTGAAGACCTTTAGGTGCTGTTCACATACCTGCCTATCTCAAGACCCAAGCCTCTATAGCTTCTGAGCTATACGTCCGCGAAAATTGGGGGGATTTTTCAGGGAGAGTATTTCGAAGTCACCTTGGCATTCATGACGTTATAATAACGCCATTCAAATCCTGTCATTCCACAAGTCATGCGGCGATCAAGGCCAAGAAAAATGTAATTGTGGCGCTCCTATCTGGCGTTCGTAAGCACGATTTCCAGATATAACGATCATCATATGGCTCTTTATTGTTTTGTGCAAGGTACGATGACATAATAAAACCATGACACCTTGGGAGGCATACTTTCTAAACAGGTAATTGTGCTGTCTAGAGCAGTCTTTTCAAATATAAAAGGGATACGAATGGGTACAAGTTAGCTTGTTTCATCATATAAGATGGTTGCTTCAATATGTTTCAATGCAAAACAATACTTTTGACCCAATTCCCTTCATTGCATTGATTGATTCCACTTCATTCCATTGATCCAAGACAACTACACAAATCATGGAATGCGTCTCTGGTACAGTGAGTGCCGACATCGAGTAGCGTTGCAGTGTTCAACTACCAGTTGCTAATGACACAGGTCTCTTACGACAAATCCTATCCATGCAACGTGACGTACCGCGTGAATCTTCCCCTCGAGCGAATCGGTCGGCTCATATTTCAGCATGCCGATCGCCTTCTGCAGACTTTCGGATGCCTCATCAAGTAGTCCTTTCATTTCTGTCCGCGAGATGGCACCCTTGCCGTACTGGCGTTGGGCGAGCACCATGAGAGGGGCGTGCAGCTCGTAATACGTCAGACCTGCCGGCAAATGACATCATCACACTGTCTGCTAACGGCTGACACATGGTAAGCTGTGGTGAGATTCAGACTGATGGCAGGAAATGCAGCGTATAACGAAATAACGACTGATGAAGCTGCGCTTGGCACGCGCAGCTAACTGGGTCAACTGTCCGGCTTCCTCCGCCTTCTTCCCGCACTCGCCGCTTTAACCCTGCAACACTCGGTTTATCTGGCGCAAGTTGCATGCGTAGCCCGCTCACGGTTTTAGTCCAGTGAGAACTTTCGGGCTCACCCAGCGTAAGGCCACTCAAGCGCGCGCATATGCCCCCTGGAGGCTTCGTGGGATCGGGGTAAGTGTCACTAATGGGTAACCTCCAGGTGCCGGCGGTCTTCACCCGGTGCTTTCCACTCATCGGCGTCTGTTAAATGGTCAGAGCTGGCCGAAAAGGCTCTTTTCGCCACAAAACCAAAAGCGAGCGGCAGGCCACTGACAAATGTATGGTGAAGGACTGTTAAGCCGGACTGGACCAGCTGGACTGCTCTTGGGCTTCACCGTCCCTCCACGGGATGTGGCTGTGAACCTAGGGCGGATTCAGGCCCTGACGGAGCTGCAGCCGTCAGACGGGCTCAAGGATCCCCAGGCCATGCTCGGCCTGTGCGGCTTCTGTAGTCGCTTCGTGCCGGACTACAGCACACGGGTAGAGCCTCTGAGTGTCTGCCGAGGAAGGGGGCATCACCGTTCCAGCGCACCCCGGACCTTTCGGCCATGATGGACGCGATACGGCGGAGCATCTTGACGAGCTGGGTGTTCGCCATGTGCGACCTATCCCTGCCGACCAGCGTCAACACCGACATCAGTGACGTCTGGCTCGGCGCAGTGCTGTCCAGCTGGATCCGGAGGGGAAGAGGGTGGTGAGCTTCGCCTCCTGCAGTTTCAACTCAGCGCAGCGGCGCTACAGCGTGACGGAGCGGGAGACACTCGCGTGTGCCTGGGCGGTGGAGAAGTGGAGGGAGTACCCGTGGGGACGGTCGCTCTGTCTCCGAGTGGACCATGCTGCGCTCTGCACCCTGATGACGTCACAAGGTGTGGGTCGAGCCGGCCTAAGTATCACCAGCTTGGCGTCACCTCTGATGGCCCCTGATAACGTCACCAGGTGTGGGTCAAGCCGGCCTAAGGATCGCGAGGTGGACGTCACGTCTGATGGCCCCTGATAACGTCACCAGGTGTGGGTCAAGCCGGCCTAAGGATCGCCAGGTGGACGTCACGTCTGATGGCCCCTGATGACGTCACCAGGTGTGGGTCAAGCCGGCCTAAGGATCGCCAGGTGGACGTCACGTCTGATGGCCCCTGATAACGTCACCAGGTGTGGGTCAAGCCGGCCTAAGGATCGCCAGGTGGACGTCACGTCTGATGGCCCCTGATGACGTCACCAGGTGTGGGTCGAGCCGGCCAAAGGATCGCCAGGTGGGCGTCACGTCTGATGGCGCACCACTCCACGGTCGAGCACGTCAAAGGCTCGGATGACCTAGCGGATGGCCTATCGAGACTTCCAGGTCGGGCTGAGGAGGCTCGAGAGGACGACGTCGTGGCCGTGGCAGCGGTGACGGCCCAGCTCCAGACCGTGTGACGGGACGAGCTGGCCAAGGCAGCGCTGGAGGAGCCGGTGCTGCGCAAGCTCACGGAGCAGATTCCGGGGCGGTGGCCGCGGCGGTGCAGAGACTGCTGGGAGGAGCTCCAGCCGTTCTACCGCTGCCGAGCTGAGCTCAGTCTGGCGGCCGACCTGGTGCTGCGCGGGCAGCGGGAGGTCGTCCCAGCGAGACTGCGCTCCAGGACGGTCCAACAGCGAGCTAGAGAAGTCTGCTGGTGGCCGGGAGTGGACACCAAGGTGGAAGCTGCTGTCAGAGCTTGCGACGTTTGTTCAACGCTAGACAAGGCGGCCAGGACACGCAGCGCGCCGATGCAGCCCGTACCTTTGCCACAAACGGCATGGGACAAGGTCGGGGTGGACTACATGGAGGCACCCGAGAACCAACAGTTCGCGATAGTTTGGTGGACTACAACTCCAAGTGGATCGAAGAAGGGTTTTGTGCAGAACCGAGCCTAAAAGCCGCTCTCCAGTTTGTGGAGGGCTCAGAAGCCGCTCTCCATTTTGTGGAGAACCGAGCTCAGAAGCCGCTCTCCAGTTTGTGGACAGCCGAGCTCAGAAGCCTCCCTCCAGTTTGTGGAGAACCGAGCTCAGATGCCGCTCTCCAGTTTGTGGAGGGCTCAGAAGCCGCTACAGTTTGTGGAGGTGATCGATTCGCGAGAAGCCTACCTGGAAGAGTCTGTCTCCGACAACGGGACGCACTTTACGTCCGTAGCCTTCACTGAGTACCTGCAGAGTGTAGGAACTCGTCAAACTCGCGTGACTCCGTACCACCCGGCAGGGTCGGGTGCGGTGGAGCCGGCCAACCGCACTGTGAAGTCAGCACTGCAGGCGGCGGACCAGAGTGGCGAGGACGACGTCCAGTACCTGCAGAAGCTCCTACAGCAGTACCGGAGCACGCCGCACGCCACCACCGGAGTCGGCCCGTCTGAGCTGCTGCACGGCGGACGACTGAGGACCAAGCTACACGCGGCAGCCACTGAGTCGCCTCACAGCGAGACGAAAATGCAGCATGTAGTACGAAGACGTGTGGGGAGCCGGCAGGAGTATCAGCGGAAGTACGCTGACCGCACGAGGAACGCCAGGCCACCCTCGCACGACGTCGGGACGGGGTCAGGTACGGCCTGGTACTCCGGTCGAGGAAGGGACGCCATCAACTCTCCGAGCCGGGGCAGATCGCGGCTTACCGAGGGGTATCTAGTTACGAACTGGACTGCGGTATCATGGTGCACGTCGAGTGCCTCACTCGCTGGACGGCTGCACCTGATCATCAGCCGGCGGTGCAGCCTGCTGACTGTCTGTGGGACAGCAGCCAGAGCACCAGCGGAGCCGAGAAAGTACATCCTGGTCGCCTCAGCAAGTTGCACCGCGTGTGCCGGCGGCGACGACGTTGGCGGTCGCGCCTGGTCTCCTTGCGCCGGCAGTGGAGGTGGCGGTAGCGCCTTGTCGCGCTGCGTCGGCGTCGGCGGTCGCGGATGACGGAGCTGTGACTACGGCACCGGTATCGTCTGGTGGAGCTGTGCAGGCGGAGCCGGGGCTTTCCCGGGCCGGGCCGGATCAGCATCATCTCTGCCAGATGCAGAGCCAGCAGGAGATGCTGAGCAGCAGCCGACTGCGGGGGCGACGGCAGGAGCGGAGCTGGTGGTAACGGGCGGCGCTGGCGATGAGCTGGACCAGGTGCGTGGCGTTAACGGTGACGTGCGTGGCGCTGCTCTGAGGCGTTCGGGACGGAGCGTGTGTGCTCCCGAACATTACCGCTTGTTGTAGGGGGAGGAATGTAGTGTTCAGGTGTTTTGGAAGTTTGTTTCCGTAGTTGACGTTGACCGAAGTTGTTCGGCCGCCTAGCGGAAGTTACAGGAACCTGTGTTTGGTCACGTCACCGTTGCGGAGTCTGCGTATGGGGCGGCGGCCATCGCACGGGTTGCTGTCTTGTGTGGTGCGGCGCGGCTGGCTACCGTGGGCTGTTGCGGGCTGTGTGCCGAGCTTGTTGGGATCGCATTAATGCAAGCAATTGTTTTATTTAAGAATAAAGTAATAAGCCTGTGTTAGTGAAAGGAACATCACAGCTATGCATATAGATAAGGCAGTAGTAATAGCCTTATTCCTTGTAGAAAACATATGAGAATGGAAATATCGATGTGTTGATATTTTGGCAAGGTGCCATGTCACAACGAATAGCAGTAGCAACTCGAAAATTGCCTGCCGATGGCCCTTCTCTGTCACAGTTTGTACAGGCCACCAGCATTCAGAGGATTAAACAAGGAGCAATTAGCAGCCATTACTACGATATAATACATGTTCTGTTAAGAATAGAATGCGCGAAAAATACATGTACATGCAAACGAATTGAAGCAAACGGGCATCGCGCATCACGCTTCATTAGAACATGAGAGCGGTCTTTCAGCGGTGATTTTTGTGTCATTCAAGCATCATGATCATTCATGTCACGTATCATATTATGTATCATGTTAAACATCATTCAAGCGGTCATTGATGCTTTAGAGCTATCACAAGGGGATATCTGCGGTCTTAAAGCGCGGTGTCTCCAGGATAACATTTTCTCGTTCGGAGATGAATACCATCGATAGAAGTTGGGAATAGTAATGGGGAATTGGGAATAGTAATGGGGAATTGATGCAGTCCTTTGACGGTAATATCTTTTGACCAAACTGAAACGGAGGCCCTTGCCGCCAGCCAAATAAACCAACTTTCTTAGCTAGATGCATCGATAACTATCCTCGACTATGGACGCACGAGCAGCGTGTCCTTCAATAATTTTTAGAGTTCATGAAAAACCAGCATCTAAATTTAGGCTTCACAATGGAGCGTACAGGACACGGCAACGGGTTCCTACATGTTGCATGCTAGTGACGGTGGAAAGGAGAAACAACCTCCCAACATTGGAAACGGAGCTCCTTATCAAGCTCACCAACTCTTGCATAACGCTGCACTGCGGATCTGCGCATCTAGCTTCTCCTACACGCAATATAACTCGTAACATGTCTAACAAAGCTCTTAACAGCTCATCAAGTAGTGAAAAAGGAAGAGCATAAATAGATGTGGACTTCGCTGTTGGGCACTAGACATTCTCCGCGACTTTTATGTAGAATGTTGAAAGAGATAAAAAAATGTGGAGCGCTTGGTGGGATGAGTAGCAATAGGCGAGAACACGGCCTGACGGACAGCGGATTCTTGACATTACCATTACCTTACATAGATGAGCACTTACCTTGGAAAATCAAACGCATAATTAGGAAATCAAAACTGGGCGTGCGGATTGCTTGTAAGAAGGACACTAAGCTTAAACGGTCTATGTTGAAATTTTCTATCTCGAAGCCTGAACCCCGTGTGACAATCGATGTCAGTTATGCAAGTCTGAGTTTCAAGGTGTTTGCGCGCGACAAATGAGGTTTACAATGTAAGTGTAAAATGTGTGAAAAAACATGGCAGAGACATAGTCCATGCCGGGGAGTTCATGCGCCCTATTCATTTGAGATATAACGAACACATGTGAGACGCTAAAAACAAAAAACGGGAAGTGCCCCTTTCGGTGACATCTATTTTTGCAAAACACGTTCAGGCTGAATTCCAGGGAGGTATGGACCCTATACTACACTTAGAGCTCAAAGTCGTCTAGAGAGCGCAGAACTATGCGGACAGGAAAATGATGGGATCTTTTCTTATAAAAAGTCGGCGAGCAGACCTTAATGTACAGGGCTCATCATGGCCGATTGTACAAACATGATAGTGCCTTGATGTGCGATGCGTACTAGCTTTAAATCGTTTACATGTATGTGTGATGCCTGACGCGTGATGCACGATGCCTGTTTAATTGAAATCGTATATATTTCACTGAATTCGTATAAATCGATGCCTGTATAATTGATGTGGGATGCGTGACGCCTGGTTACTTGAAATCACTTCCAGGTGTCAATAAAGCGTGACGCGCCATGCCTGTTTAATTCATTTGCATGCTCACATATTTTTGGCACATTCTTATTCTTAGATATACACAGTATCGCAGTAATGACTGGAAATTGCTCCTCGTACAATCCCCTAAATGTTGATGACTTGTAAAAACACTTGCCTCGCTGCTTTAAAGATAAACCCTGAAAAATGGGATAGGATCAATCGACAAGCAATTTTGAGTTTACTACTGCTATTTGTGTCGATAAAGGCATGTTGCCGACATATCAACGCATCTATATCTCTATTACCTTGGTTTTGTCTACGAGGAATAAGGGTATTACAATCGCCTTATCTTTAGGGTAATTTTACTATGTTGTAGCAGACATCATTGGTGAAGCAGCGCCCGTCGCCTGAGCGGATCGCCTGCAGTTCCTCCCACCTGTCAGTCGAGCAATGCCTGGTGCGTTCTTGACAGCAAGAGCCAGCACGTCTCGACAAAGCTGGAAAGGACGGAACAGGCATCGTTACCGTTGGGTTATGGACATGGTCATGGTCATGGTCAGGGTCAGGGTCAGGGTCAGGGTTAGGGCAGGGGTCAGACTTGAGCAGAGTGTTAATATGGGTCTCAGCAGCGAGAGACTATGACTCTCAGCAGCGAAAAACGAACAAAACAACAACAAGCCATCAGGCGCTTGTGAGACTAGACCGACACCCACGTCTTTTGGAAGTAAAATGGGGCTCTTAGTAGTAAAGAACAGTGAGTTTGTCAAATGGTTCTCAATTGAGATGGCTGTGTAGCCATCGAGTCGCCTTGCACACAGGCTTCTGCGGCCTTCCCGCAGGAAGCGATGCCCAGCTCCCTTCCCAGACTGGACTGTCAGTGCAGGTCCACCCAGTCTGGAACCGGTCTATGATCTGGCACCGGTCCGCGAGGAGTGAATCTCTCCGCTGTGCAGACACCGACCTCGACCTTCCGCTTCAGGTGCACCTCGGTCAGGTCCTGGAGGTAGTAGTCCGGTGTCCTGCCGTACATCTGCGACAGCCTGCAACCGAGACGGTGTGGTAGAGCAAGCTGCTCGCTGTCTGGAGAACTGCTGACACTTCGCTGAATGGGATTGGCACGACCAAAACCGTGAGCTAGGTATTTGTAATAGATTAGTCGTAGATTGTAGTAGATTAGTAGATCTGAGGCGGGCGTCGCCTTCGAAGTCAGTTTTGGCTTCCAAGGCGATGAAGTTTTTTACTTTGGCGTTGGCTTCGGCACATGTCAGGATAAAGACGGTCGACATAAAAGATACAGTCTGCTGGCATGCGGGAGTCATATTACTTTAATCGGTGTCAGGACAGAGGTCACGCGGCTTTGAATGACACAACGGCAGTTTTTTTTGGGATTTCTTGGGAATGACTTTGACTTCTACAAAGAACTCAGGCAAAAAATAACAGCTGTGACGTGAAGTGTTATGCAGGCTGGTGCAATACATGTAGGCATGAAGAAGCCACAAAAATGAAGTCATCGATGCACGGCTCTAATCTGGCAGCCACCGACGCACAGCTCCAATCTGGCAGCCATCGATGCATGGCTTTAATTTGGCAGCTGCCGATACATGGCTCCAAGGCAGCTTGCACCAGTCACCTGTGTTTGGTGTCAAAGATGAGGAAGTGGTTGGGGTGCAACAGGTTGGAGTATTTCCTGATGAACATCTCGTGGTCGATGAAGTCGTGGCCGTCAAGACTGTCCAATTCTCTCAGCAGCATCATGTTCAGCTTCCTGTAACAGATTAGGAGTTGGTAGACCACCTTCGGAAGTTCCTGGAAACATCGGGGGCTGGGGAACGTTGTGTTCAGATTCCGGACCTGTCCGGTTTCCTGAACAAGGCTAGGTCAGAAGTCATCATAGTCATCGCTCCGCTTCTTGTCCAACAGAAGGTGCCAGGAATCTTCAGCTTCTTGACAAACACGACTGACAGGCATGGACAGTGACTCAGGGGGTATGGTGCTTGGAAATGTGCGGGGCTTGGAGATGTGCGGTGCTTGGAGATATGCGGTGCTTGGAGATGTGCGGGGCTTGGAGATATGCGGTGCTTGGAGATGTGCGGTGCTTGGAGATGTGCGGTGCTTGGAGATGTGCGGTGCTTGGAGATGTGCGGTGCTTGGAGATGTGCGGTGCTTGGAGATGTGCGGTGCTTGGAGATGTGCGGTGCTTGGAGATGTGCGGTGCTTGGAGATGTGCGGTGCTTGGAGATGTGCGGGGCTTGGAGATGTGCGGTGCTTGGAGATGTGCGGTGCTTGGAGATGTGCGGTGCTTGGAGATGTGCGGGGCTTGGAGATCTGCGGGGCTTGGAGATGTGCGGGACTTGGAGATGTGCGGTGCTTGGAGATGTGCGGTGCTTGGAGATGTGCGGTGCTTGGAGATGTGCGGTGCTTGGAGATGTGCGGGGCTTGGAGATGTGCGGGACTTGGAGATGTGCGGGACTTGGAGATGTGCGGTGCTTGGAGATGTGCGGTGCTTGGAGATATGCGGGGCTTGGAGATGTGCGGGACTTGGAGATGTGCGGTGCTTGGAGATGTGCGGGGCTTGGGGATGTGCGGGGCTTGGAGATGTGAGAGACTTGGAGGGGTGTGGAGCTTGGAGTGGTGCGTGGCTCAGAGAGGTGCGCGGCTTGGAGAGCTGTGTGGCTTGGATAAGTGCGGGACATGAAGATATGTGGAGCTTGGAGAGGTGCGGGGTTTGAAGAGGTGTGGAGCTTGGAGAGGTGCGGGGTTTAGAGAGATGTGGCGATTGAAGTATGTTGGATGAAGGGTCGTTCAGGTGTTTAAGCCCCATACGTTTTGCTTCTTAGACGTAGAAACCCCGCAGAAATGATCACGAATGCTAATGATTTGCTCCCTTTCTATAAGTAATCAATCACCTGGCGCAAACACCAGGAAGGCTGGATTGCAGCAAAGGTTTGGTTATTTCTAGTACTTCGGGACCTCATCACACGCTGTAGTTTCTGCGCACTCGGGCTCAAATCGAATGAACTTTGCTATTAATATTCCAATGTCCACACATGGCTCGTATCTCAGGATCCACGCAGCTGTATTGACATGATGTGTCATTGATAAACTGAGAGGTACGAAGACCGGCTCAATACCAGCCAAGGTTTGCTTAGGTTTGGTATGGTACACGTATGTAGAAAAAAGTTATGTAAAAACGCGGTTCGCTGTGCGTTTATTTAATATCACCCAAGGTCGTCGTGCAAAGCACCGTCTGTTTCGAGCCTACAACTGTGGTCTGACTGCATATCTCACATTTAGTCCCCCGTCTTTAATTAGTCAACTTATTGCCCATTGCCACCAAGCCTCTTGATTGCGGGTCCGAGTGCCCAGAGCCTACGTCCCCAGCGTACATGCTCTCGTCCGACTTCTGCCGTCTTCAGTTTACGCCCTGCGTCCTACGTTTTTCACGTGGAATGAGTCCAAGAGCGTGTCCAAGATCATGAGCTTGTAACGAAAGCCAAATGCATTAGTCGAGGTCCTCGGTAACCGAGTCAGTATCCAAGTTGAATCCATTTTTAAGTTATAATAGTGTGACATGAGAGTCCTGGTGCCTAGATGGGATACGAGTCCAAGTGTTCGTTATCGGGCGCCTGGCAAAAAAAGTGACTAGCATGGTGTCGAATAGGTGTTGAAGCTTCTACCCAATTCACGGCGGAGTTTTCAAATTTTCACGAAAGGCATTATACTTTGCTGCTGACAGCTCCTAAGCGCTCGTATGGCCTTGGCTGCTGACAGCTCCTAAGCGCTCGTTTGGCCTTGTCTGCTGACAGCTCCTAAGCGCTCATATGGTCTTGGCTGCTGACAGCTCCTAAGCGCTCGTTTGGCCTTTGCTGCTGACAGCTCCTGAGCGCTCGTATGGCCTTTGCTGCTGACAGCTTCTGAGCGCTCATATGGCCTTGGCTGCTGACAGCTCCTAAGCGCTCGTTTGGCCTTTGCTGCTGACAGCTCCTGAGCGCTCATATGGTCTTCGCTGCTGACAGCTCCTGAGCGCTCGTATGGCCTTTGCTGCTGACAGCTTCTGAGCGCTCATGTGGCCTTTGCTGCTGACAGCTCCTGAGCGCTCATATGGCCTTGGCTGCTGACAGCTGCTGAGCGCTCGTATGGCCTTGGCTGCTGACAGCTGCTGAGCGCTCGTATGGCCTTGGCTGCTGACAGCTCCTGAGCGCTCGTATGGCCTTGGCTGCTGACAGCTGCTGAGCGCTCGTATGGCTTTGCTGCTGACAGCTCCTAAGCGCTCATCTGGCCTTTGCAGTCGCTGGTTCTCCATAAAAGAGTGTACACCGAAGTGCGTGGTCTTTCCTTATGAAAAACTCAGGGTAAGAAGATGACCCGAGACTAGCGACTCTAAAAACAGCCAACATGACGCGCATGGTGGGCAGCGGTTAATGGAGCCCCAGCAACTGCAGAGATCCTATTAGCGTTAAGGGAACATGGCTACACCGGGGTTCGAACCCGGGCACCCACGTGGGTGCCAAAGGTGCTAGCCATGCGGTCATGCGACCAGCATTGTGCCATGCATAGTGAACGTTATCGCGCGCCGAGCTCACCTAACGTCGTCCGGGTAAACTTGAACTCACCTGACGTTGTCCGGGTGAACTTGAGCTCACCTGACGTTGTCCGGGTGAACTTGAACTTACTTGGCGTTGTACGGGTGAATTTAAGCCCACCTGACGTTGTCAGGGTGAACTTGAACTCACCTGGCGTTGTCCGGGTAAACTTGAACTCACCTGACGTTGTCCGGGTGAACTTCGTATGAACACTCGCCGCAACTCCACTCAGACTTGGCGTCCAGACTGTCCTTGGGTAGAATGGTGCCTGAAAACAGGCGCGGCGATCGTTGGAGCAGCTGGAGAAGAATGTGGGCGCGAGCGATGTGGCGCCGGATTGACGAGAGCGGCGTCGAATAGTCGAGCGGTGGTGGAGAAGGAGTATAAAAGTGAGTGGTGGAGAAAAGGCAAAGGTATGGGCGTAGTCTCTGGAAAATTGGGAGGGGGAGGGGGGCGGTCTGAGTGGTGTAAAATGGCTAAATCTACACCAAAACACGTCATTGTACGCTCAAGAAGTGCGATGAAGAAGCATAAGAAAAGAACGTGTGCATGCAAATTCCAAGGCTCAAGATCCCCAGGATTGCGTTGGGAAACAATACTACTGCATCCTTTTTAGGATATTAATGTGTATAGAATACTGTATGTAGTACTACACCATATATTGGTAATAATATACCATTATGCGTTATGTAAGTTATTCCACAGACTACTAAAATCCGGTAAAAAGTGTTCCTGTGTTTCGCCGACCGGACCGCTCTACCTTTGCCGCAGCTGCAGCACTTGAGGGCGGAGAAGAAGGTGCCGAACTCTGTGGGATCGGCGCAACGCTCGCAAGTGCAGTCGAAGAACTTGCTGTACTTGATGTGCTCCCGCCGGGTGAGAGTGCCGGCCAGACAGTGGGTGTAGGAGGTGAAGATGGTGTCACCCTGTGGGAAGGTCAGGGCAGGTCTCAGCCCAGGTGCCGTGGGTCTGCATGGGCCACTGTCCGTAGGTCAGCAGGTGAGAAGCGGCTTCTGTCAGCAGGTCAGGAGGGGCCGCTGTTGACAGGTCAGGAGGTTCCACTGTTGACCGGTCGGGAGGGGCCGCTGTTGACAGGTCAGGAGGGTCACTGTTGACAGGTCAAGAGGGTCACTGTTGACAGGTCAAAAGGGTCACTGTTGACAGGTCAACAGGGGCAATGTTGACAGGTCAAAAGGGTCACTGTTGACAGGTCAAGATGGGCAATGTTGACAGGTCAAAAGGGTCACTGTTGACAGGTCAAGAGGGTCACTGTTGACAGGTCAAAAGGGTCACTGTTGACAGGTCAATAGGGGCAATATTGATAGGTCAAAAGGGTCACTGTTGACAGGTCAAGATGGGCAATGTTGACAGGTCAAAAGGGTCATTGTTGACAGGTCAAGAGGGGCAATGTTGACAGACCATGGGTCCACTGTTGACAGGTCAGGGAGTCCACTGTTCGCAGGTCAGGAGGGTCACTGTTGACAGATCAGGGGGTCCACCGTTGGCAGGTTAGCAGCGGCTATTCTTGATAAGTTAAGAGGGGCATTGTTGACAGGTCAGCAGGGGTGTCAGTTGCTGCTGCTGGCTCGGGGAACCACAGCAAGGAAACGGGCGTATGTGAACCGGTGCCTCTTTATTCCTCGACGCCTCGGACGTAACTGGTGGACGCGTGGGGACGCCTTTGGATATCTCAACAGCTCGAGTCACACCATTACTCATTCTGCGCCGGCTCCATGCTAGGCCGGCGTCAGATTAACTCCATCCCCGGCGCCACGGTCTCAGATGGACGATACGGCACGCGCCAATTCACCACTACGTTTTCTCTCAGCTAACTTTGACCATGTACGGCTGCCTCCCGCTCGCCACATACAGCTGAGCTGGACATTGGCCTGGGAGGCCTACCGGAGAGCTGGACCCCACTCGGCGTGTGCTGCGACCGATCTCTCTGCGTGCGGTGCTTGCTGGTGCCACGTCGGCGCGGGGACGTTCCGGTGCCTCCCCTACGTGTGCGGTGAGGTGCTCGCGGCCGCCGGCCGTGGCAGCGCGCCTCGTTCGACTGTGCTGACGTCACACAGCGGCCCCCGTGCCGGCGGCGCGGCGGCCTAGTAACGGCGGTGCCGGGCGCAACAATCGCCGTCTGTGTCGGGAAGAACGGCAGCAGAATTCCGAGAGGGATGCGATTATGCCATAGCCGGAGAGCGGTGTCGAGGCCCTGCACTACAGATACAGTCACAGCAGCTGTGATTGCGTCCAGGGCAAGATTGCACGTGACTGTGCCACAGCAACCTTGTACATATCCACCGGCTGCTTACAGTTTGTTTACGGACGGACACAGACCGTCAACGTCCATGTGCAAGGCTTCAGCTTAAGCAATGCTCATGCACGACGTTTCTGAACCGGTATGAGGCGTCCAGAGTGCTGAGCCGGTCTTACATGATTCATCACTGACGACCGGACCTGGGGAGTACATCGAGGAGATAGGCCACAAAGGCGGACGTCGGTCACATCAGCGCTGGACTTGTTCCAGCTTCGGTCGTGTCGTGAACGGTGACGTCCGCGCGCCACAGCGCCACGCTGGCAGCGCATGCAGTGGAAGTGACCGCGACGATTGCGCTGGTGGCAGGGGGCCGACCGTGCGGACCATGTCTGCCTGTTGCCGTGGGGGCGTCGGCCGCAGACGGCGCACCTGTCCGGCGTCTGGGGCCCGAGAGCCAGAGCGAACGAGAGCCCGAGCGGCCGGACATCCGGGCCGTGCCGGAGTGTTCGCGTCCGCTGACAGACCCGTGCCGGTCATCTGACAGAGCGACGAGTCCGACGGTGCGGCTCTTCGGCGGGAGCTGGCACGAACAGGTAAGGTAGGCGCATCCCTTAAGCTTGTCCCGGCATGACGCGAACTCACGGAGGCTGGCATCCTCCATCAGCCGGTGGACGGGTGTCAGCGTCGCACCCAGCCGTCTCGTGCTGCTGGGGTCTTCTAGACCAAAGGCAGCAGCGGGGGGCGTCTCCGTATGGCCAGCACGGCAATCTGGCCTGGCTGGCTGATTTGGCCAGCGCCAGTACCCGCTCCCTGCTGTGCCGAGGCCTTGGCTTGGTCCTGCAGCATGTCTGTCAGACGGGAGAAGGTCTGGGCGAGGACGTCCGGGTCAATGGCGATGGACCCTGCCGGCTGCGCCATGTTGCAATTGCCACTGCTGGTTCTATGAACGATAACACGGAAACGGGCGTATGTGAAGTGGGGTACCGTTTAATTGCCCGACGCCCGGATGTGGCTTGTGGACGCGTGGGGACGCCCTTGTGCGTCTCAGCGTCTCGAGCCGCAGCATTCAGCGCCGGCCTCATGTTGGCCCGGCGCCAGATTACCCGGCTCCCGGCGCTGAGGCTTTAGATGGACGATACGTCACGTACCAAGGGGCACCGTTGACAGGTTAACAGGGTCACTGTTGACAGGTTAGCAGGAGCACTGTTGACAGGTTAGCAGGAGCACTGTTGACAGGTTAGCAGGGGCACCGTTGACAGGTTAACAGGGGCACTGTTGACAGACTCTCAGAGGTCAGTGCTGACTGGTCAGTAGGGACTTCTGTTGACAGGTCAGCAGAGGTCACCGTTGATAGGTCAACAGGGGCTTTTGCTGACCGGTCAACAGGGGTTCTGTTGACAGTTTAACAGAGTTCACTGTTGGCAGGTACAACTGTATTATGATGTCTACACATACAAAGCGTAGGATGACGACATTAGAAGTCTGGTGCAAAAGCGAAAGCCGCTTAAACCTGGACATCCCGACCGAGATGAATGTTTGCTGACATCAGCCACCGCCGGACGCCTTTGGACGATCTGATAACAACTAATATGGTGCTGCTCGGTCGCTAAGTCCGCACCGGTTGGGAAACATAGCCGTCTGGCTGCGGTCAAAGCAAGGTATGTGTTCACTGCTGCTGTCGCCGTCCCAGCTTAACATACCATGTGGCCGCATATTGCACGCCTCACCACGGCTTTTCCTGCCCACTGTCCTCCATACCAAAGCCCTCGCGTGTAAAGGTTAATATGTTAATTAGTCACTCTTAGCTCCATGGGGGTAGCTCATATAGTCAAGTTGTCGAAATGTTTACTCTGCGACGTTAGATATCGCACCCTTCTTCACGGAACTAAGTTTTTTATCATAAGGAGATCCAAGTTAACGGCGTTGTTATTTGAACAGCCTTCATCATCTTTAGAAGTTCAGGATGGCGACCAGCGACATTTTGAATGACAACTAATTTTCTTACATGCTCAATTACCTTTGACCTTGATGACACAAATGGTCATGCAATATCTCATTATGGGCGTTATCACCAGTGGCGAGTCAATTTCTGAGCTTTGTCTCGAACTACGAGGTCTAATTTCATGCCAATCAGAGGACAACTATCAAACTCGAAGAGGCCTTTGACGCACAGCGTCACGACATCTAAAGAGTTTTTGAGCGCAATACTAGCAGCCAGCATTCGTCACATTCCTCTACTACTGTTCATAGTCAGCATCACCATGCACACCCATCTCCCCTTCGCTGTCTCCGATGTCCGTCCACTTGCCGGTGTAACGGATAAAGCGTGCGATTTCTCCCTAATGCTTGTGGTAGTCCGTACGCCAAAAGGCCTGTGTTGTAACTGTCGTGGCTGCAGCACGCAACGCTGCATGCCCTGTTGAAGCGGCCGGTATGATAGAGACTTCAAAGCTCTAACCGACGTTGGCAATATGTCTAGCTTTCCTTCACTGGGGGTGAGGGATTGCAGGAAAGCTCCTTCGGAGAGGGGAGGGGGGTAAGTAGTGTCGTGAGCCAGTCGAGTCTTCAGACTTTCAGGCAGGCCTGCTGCGGTCACAGGAACCGATCAGATGACGCGGCACAGCAGCTGACCATGGCCAACCAGCATCTGATCTGCTGGCAGTTCAGTTTCGCTGTCCGAGTGTTGCCAGGCGTGCGTGCCCACCAGCGGCTTCTCCCTGGCACGATAGGGAAGGTGCTTCATGCGTCTCACATGTCAGGTCAGTTAGCGGGCATAATTGTGGTGACCTGCCACGAATAAAGATGGCAGCACTGCCTTGAAACAGTGCCGCTGAAGGAGGAAGCCGTCTTCCGCCCTTCGCGCGGGAGCATGAGCGCCGGTGATGTAGGATTGAAAAGGCATTTCACTCATATGCTTCTGGTCAGGCGTTCTTTGGCCCTCTCCAGGTAGTTCTTGAGCTACTGGTGTACCTTGGCCCCTTCCGAGTATAACCTCTGGTGTACCTTGGCGCCTTACGAGCACAACCTCTGGTGTACCTTGGCGCTTTCCGAGCACAACCTCTGGTATGCCCTGGCGCCTTCCGAGCACAACCTCTGGTATGCCTTGGCGCCTTCTGAGCACAACCTCTAGTATGCCTTGGCGCCTTCCGAGCACAACCTCTGGTATGTCTTGGCGCCTTCCGGGCACAACCTCTGGTATGCCTTGGCGCCTTCCAAGTACAAACCTCTGGTATACTTGGCACCTTCCGAGCACAACCTTTAGTACGCCCTGGCGCCTTCCGAGCACAACCTCTGGTATGCCTTGGCGTTTTCCGAGCACAACCTCTGGTATGCCTTGGCGCCTTCCGAGCACAACCTCTGGTATGCCTTGGCGCCTTCCCAGCACAACCTCTGGTATGCCTTGGCGCCTTCCGAGCACAACCTCTGGTATGCCTTGGCGCCTTCCGAGCACAACCTCTGGTATGCCTTGGCCCCTTCCAAGCACAACCTCTAGTATGCCTTGGCCCCTTTCGAGCACAATCTCTGCAGCAAAACGGCGACAGTGATGTGTCCCCTTTCCGACTCACTTCACAGGCTGTGCAGCTGCAACGCAACAAGGGCCTTTCAAATCTGTGTCCGCTGAAGGGTCACAAATTAACTTCACTGCCGGCAAGTTCAGTCAGCCGTGAA